CATGGGAAAAGAATTTCAGATTTCGAGGAAGAAGGCCACAATGTTGTAAGAGTTCACCTATGTATGCTTCTTTTAATTACTAACTGCAAAAAGAAATGGTATGCTAAAGAATCTGACCAAACAAGAAGAAATTTCACAAAAACCTTGCTGTCCAATCAATTCCATCTGTATAGCCGAGTGTCTCAAGGAGCATTGTCACCAATAAAAGTGGGGGAAGATCCTTTTTCCCGTAAGTAACTACAATATGGCGTGCTCTAAAGATGGCGAGGAAACATTTATTAAGTGTAAACAAATTTATGTAGACCATGCAAACAGAAAACGTGACAGAGTTGGTCACTCCTTTTGCCAACAGTTTCAAGAAAATGCTCAAATTCAACAAATTGCATGCCAGCGCCTGTGCCCAAAAAGCAAGGGAGGGATGAGCACGAGCCCATATATTTAACCAATTCAAGTCTCCATAATCTATGCAGCTTCCAGGCATATAGCCCTTTCCTGGTCTTCCAATGCCTAGGACACCATCATTTTTATCACCATTTTAATATAACTTTGACTTGGCATGCTTTATCAAAAGCCACAGAGACTCACTGATTTTGTTCATGCACATGGCAGCTTATTGCCTTGCCAATTTGCCATGCAACAGTACTGTCATTAGGTTACAATGTTTAATCTTTCCATCACTGATGAAAGTGCTGCCTGTTTGCATGTGAAATTGAAAAATCAAGATAAGTTTTGTCAGTACTGCTTTGCCATGTAACATGTTCTTCATTTGATGCAAAACATGTCCGAAATCAAAGTCGCAGAACAAACTTATTCTTGCTGTCAAAACGACGCTGACTAGACTATAATGAACTTGCATGACAGCATATATAGATCGGTTATCTTTTAGAACCACCAAACTCATCCCTTAGGATTGTTAAATCTTGGTGGTGACTTTTTTGTAAAGTGTTCATTCAAGTTAATAAGTTCTAATTTTAAGTTGGACTAACTAATGGTCAAAGGCTAATTAATGGGCTTAATTTGGCCTAAAAAGGTTTTACTGCACTTGTTATGCTTGCCTGCATATAGGCTGTGGGCTTGTTAAATATTTAAAGTCTTTGATATAACCAGATAAAGTATGCTGACACGGGTGCTTAATGGACAATTTATTTTCATGGTGCATAAGATAATACCTAAATTTACATAACTTACCAAATCCAACAAAAAGATTATTTTTATATTTGAAATTTGAAAATGTCTAAAACTATACAACTTATCATAAGCATATAATTTTTGCCATTAAATTTCATTTTTTTTTCAATCTTTCTAATATGAAAATCATGCATATCCCTTTTATCTCTATTAATTTAATTATAATATTTCATTATTAGGCTCTTTCTAAAATAAATAATCATTTCTTTTTATTTCATTTGCATATATCTTTATGCCCTTTTGCAGATCAATTTTAACGTTTGGTAGCTAGTTAGAACCTGAATTAATTTCAATCCAAGTATTAAAGCTTTATATGTGATTCTTAATTTAAATGTTGAACTTTTTTTTATATTTAAGGTTGAACTATATTTGTTCTTAGAATCAAATACCAACCATTAAATACGAGTTTCAAGATTGATAGACATTGGTAGTTACCAAAATATACATATCCATTTAAATAATAACAATGATAATTTCTTGCAAGGAATTAGAAAATAGATAAATTAATTATATTAATACGAACTTTAGCTCCTTCAAGTAAATGGTACAATTTTAAATGAAATTGTCATTTTTGAGATTTAACTAATATCTCATTTAGCATAAGTATCACGGATACACCAAAATAAAAAAAAATTGAAAGTTCTCAAGCACTTATATGGCAATTTAATTTAAAATATATTGATCATGTAATGTAGTATACAATTTTGTTATAACATAATATATAATATTCATTTGGGCATGCTTAATTTAAAGGTTAAATGTTTAAATTGGGGTTAAACATTTAGGTACTTTTTCAATTAAGAGCTAAAGATTTTAATTGTAACAATTAAGGGCCAAACATTTTTAATTCCTTATACAATTAAGGATTAAGTTGATAGGTGGATAGAGCGTGTATCATACGTAACAAAAAATTGCATGTAGTTATTATACATTATGTTAAAAATTTAATTATTATACATTATGTTGAAAAATATAATTATTACACGTGATATGAAGATTTAGTGGGGACACACTATGTTTAAATATTAATTCTTTCACGTCATATTAAAAAATATAGTTGTTACATATCAAATTGAAGATTTAATTATTACACGTTATAAAATTTAGTTATTACTTGCCATGCACGATGAAAAAATTATTACATGTTACGCTATAATTATCATTTTGACCTAACAAAAAAAACTTTCTAACAAAACAACTTTTTTGTATCCTATCTCTCCGAGTTAGTATCCATGTCATGCGCGTGTCCTACGCGTGTCCTACACATGCCAAACATCTCTTTCTTTAACTCTTAATTATAAAGAATAGAAAATATTTAACTCTTAATTGTTATAATTGAAACATTTGGCCTTAAATTGGCAAAATCTAAAAATTTTGATCCTAAATTAAACATTTAATCTAATTTAAACAATTGTGCTAAAATTGCATTGATTCCTTGCTACCATGTGCTTTTAACCATATCTCTTTGTTTAATACAATTGCCAAAACATTAATAAAAGGGATGAATTTCACTTTTGATTAAAATGGTGGTTATTCACTTAAAACAAGGGAAATGAATATTCACGTATATCTTTGGATTTTACTTTTTTGAAATAATATTAACCCATGTTTTTTAAGTATTTGACTATGCTTTCTAAGGTTATAGATTTTTATTATTATGTAACGCAATTAAGAGAGAATAATATCTATAATTCATTTGGCTATATTAAAAAGTTGAGCAATAATTTGATTTTATATATATATCAAAGTACTTTTTAATTGTTAATTTTAAATATTTTTAATTATAATTTCAAAATATTTTAATTTATTTATATTATAATTTCATAAATTTTGATATCCAAACTAATTAAATTCATATTAAAAAATTCATTTGAGTTTGGAGTTACAAAGTTATCAATATTGTACGATATGATGCGATATTAGTGAAAAATGATACGTATCAATAGCTGTATTATATTTGATCAAATATCGATAACTTATCATACGATATGTGATTTGTATTTTACGATACAAAGACATATCATATAATATGGTTGATATGTTTTATACATTACAACAAAATTGAGTTTTAATATAATAAAATTTTAGAGGTGTAGCACTTTTAGCTTCACTTTTTTCACATACGGTAGCAATATAAAAAAGTGCAATCTTTGTTATTGTGTACAATTTTTATCATTACATTTTATTCATAATACATCAAAAAATTTATATAGTGAAGTCAGATCTACGAAAATATTCTAAAAAGTATAAAAAAAGTGTTATTAAAAATATTTTTAGTAATACATTTTAAAAATGTATTGTTTTAAGTCAAATTTGTTGTAGTGTTATTAGTTTAATTGTAACTAATTATTAAATTTTTTTATCTTCAAGATTTAGATTTTAAACAAAAAAATACTAAAAAAATAAATTCTTTTTTTTACTTTTTACTTTTTAATTTTTAATTAATAAATTAATATGAAAAATATATATTTTATTTAAAATATATATTATTAAGAAATATGTTGAGAGTTTAAATCAAAAAATTATCATGTTTTTAATTTATGCCTTATAATCTTTAATTCTATTAAAAAATATATTTTAAAATTTTTTATTTTACATATATAAATATTATTTATAATTAATTTTAAATTTTTTTATCATATTTTACGATACAATACTCGATACTAAAAATAAAATTTTGATTAACAACCATGGAGTTACCTCGTGGAAAAGAAAAAGAAACGCTGAATTACTCCACCCTTTGGGTTTCACCTAATTCATTTAGAATCATTAGTATTCAAAATAGACATTTTGTCCTCAAATAATATATTTAATAGAACACATAAGTCTTGATATTATTCCATTATTTAAGTTTTCATTAACTTAATGACGTGGCATGAATTTTATACTCGTTTTACTCGTCATGTATTGGAGAAATAATAAAGTTAGACTTAATACATTGGGTGGGGTAAGAGAGTTCTTGGAAGGTTAATAAGTGGTGGCGTTACATATCTCATTCGGTTAGCTTTTTAGGGTAAGGTAGTAGCCCCGTGGCAAATGGTATCAAAACAAACTCAATTATGACTCAATCCATGCCAAGCACTTTTGAGGGAGATAGGCACAGTGGTCGACGGTGACAAGGACGTCACTAGATTGGGTATTGTCGAACCAAGCACTTTCGACGAGAGGTAGGCAAGGTGGCTGATAGTGATGAGGCCGTTGCTAGATTAGGTACTATCAGACGGTGTTAGATTCTAAGCATTTCAAAGGAAGTTAGGCAACGTGCTTCAATCCTACATTGGGCAGGTATGGGAGTTCTTCGAAGGCTTATAAATAGTGACACCACACACCCTATCAAGCTTGACAATATCTGGAGTTGAATTCATTAACGGCGGCGATTCTAGGGCAAAGTATTCATTTTGATTACAATGGATCCAAAATCCTATGAATTAAGGTGAAACCCTACGAGAGTGGGGGTAATTTATTAAAAAAAAAAACTTCTATGAAAGAGAACTCATATTGGGATTATTAATATTCAAAAACTAATCATCTGGTAGTATATTTAGATTTAGATGGAATGTGTGTAGAACAAATTAGTAGCAAGCAGTCACAAGAATGTTAGAAAATAAAGTTATGTCAGGAAAATTTTAAGAACAATGAAAAAGGAAATGATTTTGGAGAAAATATTTGAGAAGATAACAATCAAAAGTTACTGAAGAAAAAAAAAACATAACATAATGCTCTATCTAATGAACGAAGATACATAATTAAAATATCAAATTGCTCAAGCATGTATGAACATGGATAGAAATGCAATTTAGGTATTTGCTAACATTACTAATTAAAGCCATCAAAGAAATGATCACCTCAACACATTTATTTGGGAAATTGGGATCAATTCTATTCAAGAACAAACCATCAACTTGTATGCTTAGATTCAGGCTTATCGGAGAGGGTTTACATCATTCTTTTTTGTTTTCGTTTTAATCAACTTGACTACTTAATTATCAGGATCAGCTTCTTTCACACCATTGTTTGACAGGAGCAGCAGGGAGGACGATGCCTCAATCTCGCTAACCCGCCCTTTCAGTTTCTCACGAAGCTCCTCCATTGATTGCTTCATCTGCAAAAGCTCATCCAGGCTAAGTTTGTTGACGGGTTTCTGGCACTTGTGTTTTCCACTTGCCTTGATCGCCTTATCAAGCATCTCTCCTCGTTTCTTCTCTTCTTGTATCTGCTTGAGAAGGTCATTAAGCTGCTGGCTAAGGTTTTCAACTTTCGCCTGCTGCTGAGACCCTACCTGACCAGAAATAGAAACTTTTGGTTTCTCATCCTGATTTAGAAACCGCTGCGTCACTGCCTCAACGCTCGGATGGCCAAACGAAAAGGGCTTGCCTCCAGGGGAGAAAACGACGATGGCAACTTGAGCGCCGCAAAGGGTAGCAAGCTCGTTTGCTTTCTTGAAGAGCCCAGTTCGGCGCTTCGAGAAAGTGACCTGCCTCGAGCTGCTATCCTTCACCATTTCCATCTCAATTTTTCTCCTGCCCATGATTTTATTTTATTTTTATTTTTGAGAGTAAAGAAAGAAAGGATATGACTTTGCTCTTAAAATGGACCAATATTTATAAGCGAAAACCTAGCGAAAATGGAAGGTTTTTGTTGAGCTGGAAATGTTTCTAATATTAGGTAGTACTAATTAATATCCTTCTTTGTTTCCATGTATTCTTATTTTTCCCTAATTATGGTAAGAAATTAAACATGTTTCCTTATTAGGGTAACTCCTGCCATAATGAAACTTCAACATTGTTTTGCTGGCACAATTTAATTCCCTCAAGAGAAATTTATCAGATGTTAGAAAGCAATTAAATTTTCAGCTATTTTTATGGATTCTCCCTCTTTTAAAATTATCAGCGTATAACGAATAATGATGCCATTAGGTGTACTGCTCTCCATGGTTTTCCACTGTTCTTGCATTGCCTTAGAGCCCAAGTATTTTGTAATTCACTTGGCTACTCTCGCTAAGAAGAACAGAACATTCGAACTCAGCTTGTCCAAATTCGATAAGAAAACAACATGTGCGTAATCAACTCATTCAAAGCAAGTGGTCCCCCCACTAAGGAGCTTACTTGGCACTGCTTACATGTACATTCATTCAATCTTTTATGAATTGACAGAAAGAATTAATTGCCACAAATTACACATTAAGAACCAACAAAACTTGCTGTAATATTTAAGTGTCCAGGCACAATCCTCTTAAAATAGAGTGTCAAAGGCAAACTTACCAAAAATCCTTCATTTTCAGGTCCACACAAATTAAATACACATAATTTTTGAAGTCATAGTTGTCAACCTGGGGCCATTTATACACTTACCATCTAAACTTCTAATAAAATGGTAACTTATCCTATTCAGGTTTACTTTCCAAACTAGTAGAAGCGTTTCTCCCTTAAAAAAGATCAAAAGCAAATAATAACAGAAGTCAACTAAACTTGGTATTTTTCCTTTTCCAAAGCAGGCTAGTCAGTGGCCCTTGGCTTGGTTTTTTTTAATACAATGAACAATGCCCACTTCTTGGTTTGTTTCCCATTTGGAACATCCATTATTCAAAATATCCTGATTTAGAATAAAGAACTTGAGTAATTTAGACAATTAATATAATTTGAGTGTAGATAGTAAGTACAATTGTAATCAATAATTAGACAATTAATGTAAGTGTAGTATAGATAAAAAGAATAATTGTAAAATTATTAACAATAATTAGACAATTAATGATTGGTATGTGGTAGGGTTAATCTTCTGTTTTGCATCAATAATTGGTTTTCTTAATTCTTCTTGTCATTTAATGTTAAGTACTGGAATCAAATATCAGCAAAAAACCACTGGAATCGTATGTAGAAACCAATTTTCAGGTTAAATCTAGGTGCTGTGGACCTTTTGATGTGGAAATTGCTCTGAAGGTTTTGGGTTGCATGCAATGCAAAAACTAAAATAAGTAAACCCCAAACCTTTGCCTAAATTATTTATTGAAATTTGCCCCTTTTTGAAGGACTAGAATGACTAATTAACTGGAACTTGAATGAATGGTGAAAAAAGAGAAGAAAAAGTGAATGCAGTTCCTCAAATCAATTATTTTAATTCCATTTACATTAATGCATTCAACAACATAAATTTGACAAATGCAACCTGTTTCCATGCAATAGAATATTAGCAATGAGTCATATGAAGTGAGAAATTTATTAGAAGAAAGATTCCTACCATAAATTCCATACAGTATAATTAGTTTCTTAAATATAGGTTTTGTCTGTCGATAAGAACCGTGATTAATCCTCACGTGAAAACTAGCTAAGATAATTCATGGCAGAGGAGTCTTCAGGAAATTCCATTGATTATAATAAGTATACATCCCATTTTTATCTGGCTGCAAAACCTGACTCGAGAAGAGAGCATATTCTACTGTAAAATATTCTTCTGTTTCCTTAACATGAAAACATTTTAAGGTTATCCTGAAGTGAAGGTGCCACGGATGTGAGTCATGTTTAGTATCAAGCTCAAATGTTTTCTTACAGATAAGTTTTCTCTTAAGGAGTAATAGTGATAAGAACGGATGAAAGACTTCATTATAATCACCAGTTTATTGAAAAAAGATAAGCAGGTACTGGTACTCTAATACATAACTGAAAGAGACCTAGGAAGATAACCTAGGAATGCTATAACAGATCATAGACTTGATGTTCGCTGGTTACATGATCATGAATGTCTTCACCGGTGCCAAAATTCACCAGCCTAAGATCCATAAGAAAGAGATAAATAACAACTAACAAGGAAAACTAAATTTTTGGCTTAAGTAAAAGATTTTACTTATCCAAACAAGTAGGGGAAAACCCCTACTACAGAAACAAGGTAGTCTTTATTATTCCGCAAGATAGTTTGAGTTGGTCGGGACTACTGGCGACCAGGGCCGAAGCCAGGAGGAAAGAAACCAGGAACTTGCTCATTTAGATTGGTAGGGAACGGATTGGTAGGAAATGGAGTGGTCAGCTGAGCAGGAACTTGCTCATTTAGATTGGTAGGGAACGGATTGGTAGGAAATGGAGTGGTCAGCTGAGCAGGAACTTGCTCATTTAGATTGGTAGGGAACGGAATGTTAGGAAATGGAGTGGTCAGCTGAGGCAGGAACTAGCTCATTTAGATTGGTAGGAACGGATTGTAGGAAATGGAGTGGTCAGCTGAGCAGGAACTTGCTCATTTAGATTGGTAGGGAATGGATTGGAAGGAAATGGAGTGGTCAGCTGAGCAGGATTCATTAGAGCAAGCTGTGACGAAGTGGCTTCAGCACTCTTCTCTTTCATCTTGCTATGGAGACTGGTGCGAAGCTCCGCAAAAGATGAATACAGTTTTTCAAGCTCCTGCTGGTTAAGTTGATCAATGGGAGCTTCCCACCAGCCTTTAGTTTCTTTCCCGCTGGTCAGCTGGTCGAGCTTCTTTCCTCTCTCTTTCTCTGCATCCAGCTGGGTAACGAGCTCATTGTGCTGCTGGGCTAGAGTATTGATTCTGAGCTTTCGGTGAGCCTCCACAAGAGGGTGAGTGTTGTCATTTGGAGGGGGGTTTTGGTTAAGATAGCGGTTAACAACAGATTCAACAGAGGGGTGACCATATGAAAAGGGCTTACCTGCTGGTGAGAAAACTATAAAAGCAATCTCAGCACCACACAAAGTAGCTAGCTCACTTGCTTTCTTGTAGATCCCTGATCTGCGTTTTGAGAATGTGATCAACCTGTCATCCCCATTTTCGATCTTCTTCATCTCAATCTTTTGCCTGCCCCTAGTTTTCTTGCCAGAGCCTGACATCTTATGAGAACAGAAGAAACAAGGTTAGAAAGGAATGTTATACAAGCCTTCTAGGCTGTTTGGGATGAAGGTCTTGTTGGCTGTAGATGCATATATATAGGACAGGGAAACTCAAGAAATTAAATGCACAAGGTAGCCCTCTAGTTGTCTCCTTTCTGTCTTTGCCTCTCTTAGCATATGAAGAACAAATGTCTCCATTGGCACTATAAATTCTCACTTTAGCATGTTTAATACTAACCATCTCTCTCATATAATATAAGAAGTGTCTAATAAGTGATTAACCATATATCATTAGGCTATGGCACTATGATGTATCCCTTTCAACAACTATTAACATCCATTGGACGTTTTTCATCAAGTATCATGTTAGCAATTGAGAGTCCGGTCTCCGATCAGTAGGCAGCTATGTTTCTTAAATTCTTTACTTATAAAATCTTGACTCATCGATCGTGTTTTTAAGGACGCGATCATTGCCAAATAACGTGCTGATCAGCAGTGCAGTTGCGCTGTATAACTACCCGGTCTAGTATATAATTGTTGTGCAAAAATTTTAACTGATAGAGTTGGGAGCATGCTTTGCCAGTGGGGAAGACTCATTAAGAGTCCTCTTAATGGTAAACAAATCAAGAGCTGTCTTTAATGCCAAGCAATTAAGATGGTAACAAAGTAATTATCAGTAAAATAGTTTCTGATACAGCACTGTTTTCCTGTACAATATTAATTTCCAAGGCTGAGGATTACTTCTTTTACTATCTGCTATTCTATGCCAAAATGAATGCTTAAAGAGGGACAGTGCAATTATGTTCAAAGTTACTTAGCTGCTATCTTATATATGGCTATAACAATAGGATTTCTTAAGGAAAGTCATAAGTTAACACCACAGCTATCATAAGTTGAAAAAGGTTTATCATGGTGCATTCTAAGTCAGTTTTATGTTGAAAAGTATTACGAAAAATTGATATGTACCATCACTCAGTAAAGTTAGAACTTAGAAGGCTTACCCTGGAATAACTGATTGAATGAGGGAAAAAATTAAAGGAAGAAAAAGTATGAGGACTTCAAAAGAAATCTAGAAAAAAGACACCAAGGACATTGAAGAAAATATCTGCTCTCTAATTTTTTATATAGCACGTTATAGTAAATTTTAGCAAAAGTCAGGCTGTAGTATTACCTGTTTCTATCAATGCATTATGATGATGCTATCGGTAGCATCCACAGTAAACCTGGTTTTGCATCTCAAGTAAGCGTTACCATGAAAGAGTGCAATATTTGCAGCAGAGTAATATAGAATGGAATAGATGAAGGCATTGAGTTATTCTGATAATTCAACTTTTAGTGTTATTGCAAATTGCAGTACTAGAAAAGTTCTTGGATGCAAACATTGTGTTGAAGTACTTTTAATATATCAGTCATATGGCCATGAATTACAAAGAAATTGTAAATAAGAGAAGCATTGCTGTATGGAAGACACAATAAACAACATAACTCCCCACAGAACAGGGTTATCCGGTTCAGCATTTTCCATATGCAAAAGCAACAACCATGAAAAAAGATGTAGTATCAATTTTATTAATAATTAATGTTGAGTTCAGTGCCTGCTTTCATGGAGTTCATTGGTTGGAGCGATAAGAATGAGGCTTGAATGATGACTGGTGATGGTACTTAATGGAGTTCTTCCTATCACCACTCACTGTTTATTTGTTGGAGCTGTTGCATGTTCATTGGATCTATAGAAATGAAAGTACTGAACTTGATTGCTATAAATCAGTACTGCCATTCGGGTTATAGACTTAAAAGTGTCGTTCCAATGAAGCCACCAGCGAAGTCCTTTGGCCATAAAGCGATAGAATTTGTTGCAGGTTTGCAGCCTACTTCAACCAAAGTCCAGAACTCTCCACCTATAATATCAATATCTCTCTTCTTGATTTGGTATTTTTACACTCTTGGTTCTTTTAATTTGAAGGAAAGAAGAAGATAATTCTATTTATTCTTTTATTGTTCTTAATTCATATACATAAATTGTAGGATTCTATTTACTTTCATAATTTAATTTCCATAGCATACATGCTCATATAACTGCTCAGTGATAAATACCAAGTACTTTGTTCACAAAAATGTTGCAATTTCTCTTATGGTCATCTTCATTTCAGAAGTATTCATGCCTGTAACTTGCAAATGGATTTGTTGCTTGAGCAGGATTTGTTGAAGGCAAGGACAAAGCAGAAGCTCTAATCTTAATCTCATATATACACCTCTAAGCAAACTCCTATGGCGCAGGCGCCTATTTGTAATGGATTCAATGGACGGATGGCCATAAGAGAAGGGCTTTCCAGTTGGAGAAAACACCAGTATGCCAATTCCATCTCCACTTAAAGTGACCTGCAGCTCGTTAGCTTTCTTTTAAACCTGATTTTCGTTCAGAGAATGTTATGAACCTTTCACCATCATCTTCATTTCTCTTCATTTCAATCCTTTGGCAAGCTTTGGTCTGCTTGCCACAAATCCACGATCAAGAATTCAGTATATCAGACTTAGACAAGGAAGAGGGTGTATTTGAACTATTTTTATGTACACAGTTACACACAAGAAGGGATGCAATGGCAGTTCTTCTTCTATAATCAATCTAGGGGTTTAACAATAAGAGGAAAACACAGGTTATCAGTGAATATCTAAAGGAGCCTAGATTCCTTGCAATGCCGAAATCTAATACCATCCATTTTGTAGATACTTATACAGGAACCATATTCATGAATATGCTTCATATCAGTATAGACTGCACTCTGAAATGCATTGCAAGGGACGGTAGGGAAGATTTGGTCCTATGAAAACTGTCTAGGTTGTCACCTTTCCTATATTTAATTTTCCTTCCAAATTGAGCGTCTAGGGATGATTGTATTTCCATGTATAGAGAGCGAAAACAAATACCGAACCCCTCACAAAACTGAGTTGGCGTTTACCTGTTCTGGTTTAGTACGAATTAGATTTGTTTATGTTATGTCAATATATACTATAATGCGAAAATTCAATTGGACAAGAGCTATATTACGGAGGGGCCACTTTTCACATATGGAACATTATAGCATAAATACTTCATCTTAACTATCAAACATGAGAGGATTAATTTACTTGTCATTTAGAATGAAGTATTGTTCTGCATTAGATAAAGAGGAAAACTGAGTTACAATAACAATAGCTGAGTACTTGAGTTGAAGTGGGAGACACCTATAACCCTACTGCATTTTTTTTTGGCTTCATTACTATATTATTTTCCATAGAATCTTTTCCAAGAATCAACACATGATTCATGATTTGATGATGTTGGAAGCATTTCCAAATCAAAATAATATGGTTAGTTCAGCTGTGCCCTCTCTAAAAGATGCTCGACCTTCCAACCACTTTAATAACTTTGTATTGTACAGCTTTTCAATCATTAGAGCCAGAGATACTGTCAATAATCATTCATTCATCACTGCTTTCTTGAAGATGGCATGAGGGCTAATTCCAACTAAACCAATTATGCATAGGCGGCCATAAGGAGGCAAAAGGCTTTGTCTTATAGGAGTGTGCCTATGTCTGCAAGAGAGAGTTTTCCAATATTACAAAGAGAAGATGCCAAGAGTGAAATATGTAATGAGAAAAAGAATACCTTAGGAAACAAACCTTTTGTTTTTAATAGAGTGAAGTAGGCATGCACGTGATGAATTGAAAATGCAAATTGCAATTGACTAATAACTAGGATAATCAGTGGTCTTTGTCGCAAAGTATAGAATCTTAATTAAGCTAAACCTGACATAAACCTTTTGTCCTCTCTTGTATTATTTGCTGATGGTTGCGTGGTTGGAAAGTCCTGGCTTTTGGGGTGCATTTCATATGCCTAATAAAACAAGTGGAGCATGTTCGATGGTGATGATGATGATGAGAAATGGCACTGTAAAACTGGATGGTAATATATTTAAATTAAAAAGAGCTGTCTCTATTCAGTTTGTAGCTTAAACCCCAATCAGTTTGGATAGGGATGGCAATGGTAACCTGTTACAGGACACCCACGGATACTCGATTCCGTTATATAAAATTAGAGTACTTTATAATCAAGTTTGTGACAAGTTTTGATAGTGATTTCACTACCCATATCAGGTTTGGGTACTTTAATACTTGATCTTGTATCTGAATTTAGTTGAAGAAGGTTATCAAGTTGGACCTCTTCTGTTTGATATTTTATGAGGAAAGGTGTGTATATGTCTACTGATATCTGTTCAGGGTCTCTTTATTTTCTATCCAAGGGAGAAGGAACAAAGTTCTCATTGCGAACTTTCAACAAAGTTGGTCCAAAGTGGAGGGGGAAAAGAAAAGGAAAGAAAGAAATCAACTTGCAATATCAGGGAAATGAAAGGCAAACAGTGGGATAAGATTAATGTTAAAACCAGTGGCATAGGCAAGGCTGTCTATTGTCTCGGTTGAAAGTGAATTGTCCTAAGACAATGAAGCTCTTGTAATTCTCAACATAGAACAGTTGTGCTGAATAATTATGGGACCTAAATCGAATGAGGAGTGGAGAAACATGGTTGTGGAGTCTGATTCTCAAATTTCTCTGCATTTGATCATAAATGGGGTTTCCTCTTGTCATTCTTTTAGCACTCTTGTTAATGATTGCAGGCATCTGCTCCACCTCATTCCCAGTAGCAGGGTGAAGCATATCTACGGAGAGGAGAACAATTGTGCTGATCAGCTTGCCAAGTTAGGGGCCATGTTGGACTCTGATTTTGTTGCTATGAATTTAAAGTTGCTTGCTGATGGAAATGGAGATTACTTTCCCTAGGACTTTCTAGTTCCAGGCTTTCTTACCTGCTATTGTCTGTGTTTTTATGGTATTTTCCTTTCTTCCCCAAACAACATAGAACAGTTGTTTTCTTCAAGCATTCAACCACCAAAGAAATTCAACGAAGGAACAATTAAGTCCTAGTTTCTTCAGGCCAATCCATGCTCTGGCTGACTCAAGACGAGCATCCCCCATATATGGAGGAAGAATGGAAAGTGATTGGTAGAACAATTATTGGTCATGGACCATTTCCATTTCCCACCATTCTGCTTACTATCCCTCACACGTGCATCTGGTTTAGGTTTAAGTTCGTACGATAGTACTTTTCATAGGGAAAAACAAAGATGGTATAAAAAGCAAAAAAAAAAATCAAAACATTGATAATACCTCTTAATTTATATGACATCATAATTGGATTTTATTTTTGGGTGTGACTAAATAAAAAAAAAATTATGAGAGTAGACCCTAGGGTAATGTTGATGGATTTTGATTCCATTAATCAAGATGACTTGAACACTTAAATGATTTCAGCAAAACAAATGACTTGAAAAGGATGGAAAATAATTTTATATTTTTTCACTAATATCTCTTCATTTACGATTTTAAACGGTTCAATATCTAATGACACACATTAAAAATATATATATATATTTCATAATTATAAATATTACAATATTCTCTTTTCAATATATTAATCAATACCTTTTCATATATATTAAATATTATAATATTATTTTTTAATAATCATATTTTTTTGTAATTACATTTAAATATTATAACATTGTCTAAAAATAAAACGGCATCTTTATTATGATCACATGTGCCTAAAACATAATATTAGTTTATTTCCATAAAATTTTAATCCTAAAAGTATAAACTTAAATCAAACAAAGGTTAAGTAGTAAGAAAGTGAAAGTATATAATATAAGAAAAAAAAGTATATAAAACTGTCATTTTTTAGGGGCCCTAATAAAGGTCAAAGCTTTAGGTCAAAAAGAGATCACACACCATCACAGGTATCTGCTTATTTTCTCAACGCTCGAAAGCCACCCTCGTGTTGGTATCTAACAAAAACCCGTATCTTTTCTTTTTTTCCACAAACTTCCATTAAAAAGTCTCCAATTTACCCTTCCCCAAGAGAACTAGAAAGGTACTGTGGAAATAATTTCCTTCCTCTTAATTATGGCCATTTTGGTTTTTATATTTCTGAATATGAAAAAAGAGAAAAAAAATTCCCATAGATAGCAACCAAATCACTGAATCAGCAACAAAAAGGAAACAACAAGATCTTCCATGAAAGATACTTCGAAAAGATTTCATTTTGAGGCCGTACACTTCTTTGTTTTAAAGACCCAGAAGCGTTTTAGCCTCTTTTACACTCTCTTTCGTTTTTCAAGCAGCAGGAATAATAAAAGGATACAAATATAGTCCTTTATTTTTTGTTTTGTAAAGCAGGGGAAAAGGAGAGATAGACAAATGTTTGAAGAAAACGAAAAGTCTTGTAGTTTTCCACGAGAACTAATTGGAGTGAACGTGGGTCTTGCGTTCTTTGATGGCATTATTGCCGTTATTGCTTTTAGTCAGGTTTGTTTGTTCTTTTTTTTTTCTTTTCTGATTTCTTATTGTTAAAAATTTGATATTTTTGGATGTTTAGTGAGCTTTTGATTGATGGGTAGTTTGAAATATGGGAGAAATGTGGGCAGCAATGTGTTATAGGATTGTTCCATCGGGGTTTTGCATTCGGCATATTGTGATTATAGTTTCTGTTTTCTTCTTCATTTGATGATTGTAGAAAAGAAGACTTTGATAACTTGATGGATTGGTCATTGACTCATTGGTTTTTCTTGTTAATGTTAAATAAAGGTTATTTGGCATAGATGGAAAGGGTATGGCGTTGTGTTTAATTGTTAATTAACTTCCATTTATGACTAATACAATTAAATTCATGTTAGGAAAGTAATTGAAAAAAAAAGGTCATTGTTAGCTGGAGAAAGAATAGTCCAACCAGGCTACTAAACTTAATTGTTGGCTCTGTTGATGAACCAAGTGTTAGCTGGTTGAATAAGCAGATTCTTAGATTCAATATATAGGCTGTGTTCTGATTCTTACTATATCTTTATGAACCATGTACCAAGTAGCATTTGATATTCATGGCTAAAAGGCGTGCATATTAGTGATTTGGCATGCTCAAAAAAGTTGAAATTGATAGTAGAAACAGAAAATATAAGAAAATTCTCCATATTCAAGATTTAAGCAATATGTAACCAGGACCCTAGTGATATGAGCAATATATGCAGTTCTTTTCTTTTGGGAAAACAAAATTGAAGCCGTGAAGTAAGACATCCTTATTTATTCAATTTGTGGTTGACTGGTTGGCAATCTGTCATTTTTGTTTCCATGAAACCAAGACATAACTACAACTTTGGTGCAATAATTGGCTTGTTGATCATTGTACTGAAAAGTAGAGGGTCACGTAGCTTGAACGTCGAGGAAAGTTATATTTCTCTAAATCCAAAAGGCACTTGGTCCAAGCAATTCATGAATAATATGTCTTGCAAATGGTTGGTTCTTATGAGATAAGGAGGATTAACCTTAACCTTTCAATGGGTTCAGGATACTTAATTTGAATATGAAATGGGCTGGTTGAGCAAGCCATGCTTAGTTGAATCAATTTCTTTATATCATAAGCAAAGTTTGGAGGAACAGCATAAAGTGCTTGAATTGAGCTCAATCTGAGCTTTTCTCGAACTAAATAATTGAGCTTTCGTAGTAATCTTGATATTTGGCTTAGGGTTCCTTTAGTTGCAACCTTATTTCTTTTTCAATTGATAATTTAGCAATGATCCTATTTTTGCAGTTAGTCCAGCTCCACCTTTTTGCTTGCAGCCCTATTTGTTTACCCAAATGCAATGGTGGTTTGAGTTGCTGTAATCTTGGCATCCTTCCTATTCTCTAACATGTTCAAGATCTGTAGTTTTACATTACATCATATTCGTGTAGTTTGTTATACATCTTGCATACTGTATCATGGTTATGAAAATTTTATTGGGGTGGGGAGTTATGCTTACAAGAGAAAGGAGGCCTGAAACAAAAGAAAAGGAACTTAGTTGACATCGACCACTCTTAGGCTTAACTAGCTGTTCTAGATCATGATATTGTCTTTATGTATATCAAACTGGTGAATTTTACATGCATACATCATCCATAGGTGGCTGGGTTTATGCATATGTGCTGATAGATATATCTGTCTTTTTGTAGAAAGTAACATCCAGATGGTAATATTGTACACCAGAATTTGTTACTGTGATATACTAATAATGACAGAGAGATTATGGTGTTTCTTGTTTCTTTTCCTTTTTGGTTTGTTGTTTGTAATGACTATTTACTTTCACCACTTTGTGGCCAGCTAGCACGGATTCACTGCAGGAATTTACAGCTAGGATGGACTCGCCAGAAAGTAAGTGCATATTGCCTTCTGTAACTTTTTAGTTGAATTAAAAAATTTCTATTTGAATGTAAACTAATTCATAGGCTAGCTAGATTAAGCCTATGTCATCAGACAAGCTGGTCGAGTGGGGACTTGCACCTTGATCTGATCTATTTGAGTCGTCTGACCCCTTAAGGCAGAACCTGGTGAAATTGTCTGAACAGGAAGGATTTTGGTGACTCTTCTGACTCCGCTTGAATTTGGAGAAACGGGTAGGTTGAAATTAAGTTGCAGCTACAACATGCATTAGTTTTAAAACGTTTGGGCTGCAGGAGTTAGTAGTAGGACCTTGCAGGGGAAGCCTATTTGACCAACATTCCCGGGGCTTCAACTTTTTCCACAATGTCTTGCTTGCTTTTATAGTTTCTAAACTTCTTGCTAGTAACAGAAGAATTTTTGTGTTTGGCCTTGAACTGGCAAAAAACCCACTGTTGGACTATGTTTTACTTTTCTTTAAGCCTTATAAGTTATTGCCCATTGAGGAAACTGCAATAAAACATTAATATTTACTAAAAAAAAAGTTCCAATAAGTTGTTTAGTTGTGTCTTGGAAACTAAGAACGTTAATTGAGTAACAAAGTGGTTACATCATTAACCCATTATCTGGTCCTTATACTGTGATGATTAAGAAACCAGCTATACCATTCTGGAATTAGTAGAATGGAAGAGAGAGGATCAATCTTATCTATGGTCCAGTGGAGGCAGAAGATAGACTTGGGGTTGAAGTCAATGTTTTGTAAGGTCCATGCATTGGTGCTCATATATGTTAACTGACAGATGTATGAATATGGTTTACGTTAGTGCTTAGGTATTGTTTTTTCTTTTCTCCTTTTTCTCCTCTTTTCTTTTCTAATGTGGTACGGGTAAGTTACTACATTGATTTGTATTGTCAAGTATATTGACTTGTTCTTGATCCTAATGAATGTGAATTACAGGTGTTCCATTTACTGATTGGTTCTACTAATGCTGGTAAGAATTTGTAGTTTACACTTATATTGACCTTTTGGCCTTATACGCATAGCTTGATTTGAATCATATCTCTGATTCCAACTGAATTGCAAAATTCTTACCAAACCTGGCAGGTTACTTCGTTTATTTTGTCTTGACTCTTGTTGCTGCATGCAGAGGGTGGCTATGCTGGTCATACTCTTGTGGTTTTGTAGCCATGGGTACGTGTAGATGCTTGAAATATGAACCCCACTTCTTTCTTTCTTTGCAGCAGATAAGTTTAAGCATTAATTAGTGCAAATATGTTGTGTTGCAGCCTTCCCCAGAATTCTATTCTTTGCAACATTTCTTCTACTTTTGTCATTCTGGTATGTTTTCTCTTCAAATAACTTATTTATATTTTCTTTGAGTGAAATATGAACATGTATCTAAGATAACTTTTCTGAATGCAAGGACAATGTGCTCTCTAGAAATTTCCTCATACCAGATGGTATCATTTTGTCAAGACATTCCAAAATGATATGAAAAGGGAAAACATGTGAAATAATTTCCAGCCTTATCGATGTCGTACAAATTGGACAGTGAAAACTCACTTTTCTTTTTGATGGAGATTTTAGAGCAAATTCAACTTTTTGTTATTCTGAAGTGTCAGGCTCTCTTTGCTAAATGATTTGCTGACCATCCACTTTTCTCTTTTCTGTGACTACCTTGTTTTTCTGCTGAAACAAATCACTAGTTGATTATGCTGCACATGGTTGTTCTCTTCAGGTGTGAAATTATTTTCTTCTCTTTCAAATAGATTATGAATGAGAAGATTTATCATATGGATACGTATAAAATGCCTGCGTCATCATTTGTTCCCATCTCAGCAATCATTTTTTTATCCATTGGCCAGAAGCTGATTCTTGTATCTAAATATATAATGGCATAAGTTTATTTTTCTCCCCTTTCTTGACCAATTGATGTCAAGGAACTGGAGAGCATATATCTGAGAATTAAGATATTCACTTTTCATTTTTTCTAATAAAAAGAAGAAAAAGGAAATAGAAAAAAGAAAAGGAAGATCGACTTTAGTGGCTGATTGTAAATCATAATGTGGTAATCATTCTTTATACAGGACAGCTTTCTTTCTTCGTCTTCTTTTCCCAGGGTTATCCAATGCAATGGTACTGAAGCTTAGTGCAGGAAATATCTTTCCTAGATATAGTTACTTTCAAGTTTTGATATTTTCTTTCAGAGTGAAATTTAGTGTTTCTTCATCAGCTATACCCCATGTCTCTCTCGCGGATTTTTTGTAGGGTCGACCTTTGCCACCAGGCAGATGATGAAGAGGAAGAGGATGACGAACAGGGCTTTCTAGAAGCTTTTCTACAAAATTCCTTAAATAGACCAAGGTCATCAACTACAGATAGTCGCAGAATATGTTATCCTTTCCGTTTAATTCATGTTGGAAGCCGTCAAAAAATAGTGATTCTGGTATAGCAATGCAGTTTCTTCTTTTGTTTCTTATCACAGTTTGAATGTTTCGAATGTTTCTATAATACTTTCCTGTTACGTCATTGTGTAAAAACTTGTGTTCATGAGCTCATTAATTCTGTTTTCTCTGACTAGGTTACTGTTCTAGTATTTCTTTTTATGCTGACATTTGCTGTGCTAATCTGGATTGGGATGGAAGATAATCCTATTGATTCCTCAACTGTAGCTCGGGTATGGACATCTGACAACCTATTTTCGTTTTAACTATTATTACTTTCCTAGGGTACCGTCTGTTTCAGTCTGATTGTCAGAGAGAAGGTTATGGTGAAGATAGTGTGCATAAATTTTCTCTTTTAATTTATTGGTTGGAAAATGACAAGAGAAAATGAAAACTTGAGTTTTCTGGACTTCCTTTGTGTTTTTTATATCTTTTATAAATAGTGAAGCCATAAAGTTGCACTGCCTATCTCATGCAGGTGTATGTAGATCTTTTTGCTGCCGCAATACTATTGTTAGGTGGAGCATTAGCATGTTATGGTGAGCAACTAGCAATATAGATGAACCTTTTTTTTCCTCATTGTTTGAAGATTTTGTCCCTTTTTGTGATAACTTTGTGATGGCAAAGATTGTCTAATATCAGGCTGCACACATTCTTATTCCATGTCTCTCATCCATAGTATTTAACAGCATGCATGTGTAGATGGCTTTGTTGATCAGTATGAAGTTTATTGCTACTTCTACTTAAATGGGTGATATGATTTAAGGCTGGCCTAAATGCCTGGAAAGATTTTACTGGTTAGTCGTTGTAGTAGATTGGCTAATTCCTATTTTTTAAGTGTCACCAGAATAGATGACTATTTTAACGTACATATATTTTTCTTTCATGGGAGTCTTGGAGATGCACACATGTTTTTATGTATTTGTTTCTTTCTCATACTCAGGGCTCCTATTATGCCGGAAAATGAGGAATGTTAGATCTGAAAGAGCTTCATCTGAGATCTGGAAGGTAGTATTCTATTATCCTTTATATTTACTTGTCATTTTGATATCAAGTTAGAAGATACCCTGTTCTTTGGCCTTTATGTTTACAGGTGATGTATTTACCTTTGTTTAAAATCCAGTGGCTCTATAGTTATCTTGTCTGTGCCTTAGTTATTTCATTGATGTTGTGTTGAGGTACATTGGTTTCTGTAGGTTGCAGGTTTGGCCATTGTATCTGTTCTATGTTTCTCATCGAGTGCTTTGGTGGCTCTTTTGACTGATATTCCAGTACACATCTCTCTCTATTTGTTGTTTGTTCTATGTTTGAATTTCTAGCTTCATTAATCCTTCCAACTTAAATGTGTTATCATGATTGCAGGTACTTTATCACTGGCATGAACTGCACATAGATGGTGTTTATACTTCTCTTTTCCTGATTTTATATTATTTTATAGGTACTTCTCTACTTTTCCCTTGAAGTTTTCAAAATTTTCTCCAAATAGATGAAAGGCATTTGATTATTGATTGATGGTATCACTAGTCTACTTTAGAGATCAGTTTTTAGGACTTGGAATATCGTAAACATTATGTACTATTGATGAATATCTTGCATTAATCTTGTATTAGAAATGTTTCGTGTGTAATTTCTCTTTTTTGAATATTCAACCTCATCTGGCAATGTAAAGTTATAGAGAACAAGTTTGTGGATTGATGAGTATAAGAACCTTCTTCCACTGTACTCAGATGATAGACATTGTATGAGAAACCAGGATATATCCAGGGGAAAAAGAGATACAAGTGTTTTAAACTTTATATCTCAATAGAATGACTTGGGTGGTCTGGGAGTTTGGGACTGTTAAGAGTTTCCAATTGAGCATGTTGCTCCAAAGTAAAAAACACTATTGTATTAGACGAGTGCCTTAACACCTGTTCTTTTTTTTTGATCCATCTACTGTTTTCGGACTGATAAATAATTTTCGTGTGAAGATGGTAAATTCTTTTGTTGCATCCATGTTATCATTAAGTCGACTGCTAGCTGAATTTATGGATGGAATGGTGATTTGGTGATTGACATGGTTATGCCTTGTTGACGACAGAATTGAAACAGCATTATCATGATAATAGTGAAAGATATAAACTCTGAAACCCTATCTTTTTTTGCTTGTCATCATTGCTGCCTTATCGAAAAGTAGGTCACATAGTCAAGTTCATGATGGGATGTTTATATTGCTTTTCTAGGTTCAGCAGTGCCCTCCGCATTTGTATTATGGGTCATGAGAGAATTACCGCCCATGTCTGCTAACACACAAGAAGAATCAACAACAGTTTTCATTACTGATTGTCCAGCTGAAATCCGTCATCCTCAGAGCTGGGCTACTGCAGCAAGCTCGCGGAATCAGGTTCACATCCCTTCTTTGTGTTGTCTATATATTCAGTTTATTTACAGAATTTGCTTATTCAACAATGTTTTGTTCACACCGTCTGCCGGATCTTTCAAATTTTAACTTGTATTTATGTGAGATGTGGTCTTTCTATTGCAACCTACCTGTATTGAGATCTTAGGCATAATATTGTCTTTGTATCAGATATGCCTCAGAGAATGGTTCTGATTTAGTCAGGGATTGGTACAAAATATTGCAACAGTTATTTGAAGCTGAGAATAAAAAACGAACGTTTATGCCGATGCATGTTTGAAGTTTAAAAAGATGAACATTGGAGAACGTTAGCGGGATTAATCTTGTTGTATGCAGTTGATATTATTTCATGCATTACTGCATCTTTCTTATTTGCTTTTTGATATTATTTTGTGCACTGCTACATCCTTTGTATTTGCTTGAATGATGTTCAATAAGATGGTTGTAGGAGATATGGAAGGGATCCTCTGACTTGAGGCTGTTATCGCAGGTATCAAGAGGTAGTCCTATATAATTGCTCTTTCATTCCTAAACATGTATGCTTATCTTCCCGAGCGAGCAACGTCAGCTGGAAACTGGAAAATCTGATGAAATAAGAGTGGATTGCGCAATGAGCAGCAATCGAAAGGTTACAATTGCTGACTTGGCGGGGCAGTCGGAGTACAGCCGTAAGGTTGCCATTGCCTATGCCATGTTTTTGACATTTGGAGCATGTAAATAGCACTGGAATGCTGGATGATTTTTCTGTTTCTTTCAACTTCCCCATGGTTGTCCAATTGTAAAGACATTTGATATGCTTATGTCTTCACCACACGCGTAGGTATTTAATGGTTCCTTAATAGATAAATTAAAGCCATTATTTTTTATGAAGGGTGTTCATATGTGCTTTACCTTTCTAGATGATGAACCTACCAGCTGCTCCTTTCTATTCTTCCCGTCCCCAGTTATGGCATGCCTTAGAGTTCAGGGCTATGGCGCATCATTGGAGAAATACGTTATCCCCAGGGATATATAAGCATGCCTCTTTGCGATTGTCACATGGATCATGTCGAAATTAACTTCATAAAATCAGTAGATCAACATTTAACTTCATAAAATCACCCGACATCAAGACTGCAAACAAACGAGCGCTGGACCTAAAATAGAATCTATCCAGCTTCACACCATCTTCCTGAGAAGTCAAAACATTGGTTTTTCTGCTGGACAAAACAATGTAATCCTTATCCAACAACTTAGCGTCCACTCCTCTTCATTGCGCAGCCTGATGGAGCTTTCAGGTTTGCTTCTGCCGCCAGCCAATTCTTGCGCATGCGAGGCACTAAAAGAAAATTGAAGAAGACAAGCTTACTAACAGAAGGATTTGTGTATGGCAACTATTTGCAACAAAAGTAAATCTTTAGGAGATTAATTCATGCAGCAAACTATACTTAAAAGTGTTTTAAGTCCAATTAAAAACCAGAATCTGTCTCAATATATCATAATACAGAATAGGGATTGATTTCGGAACATGCTGATAACAAGAACAATTGTTTATACAGGATTGTCTCCAAGGACCCCAAAGGTGCAAAACGATCCAGGATTAGTTTTCTACTGTAATGGCAAAACTATCAGAATTTATGCTCATTTCAAGTCATAGATTATCTTGTAATCATCATTATCAAATATCCAGCAAATTTTTGGGCCTGACAAACTTCAACGTAAAGCACCAGGTTTGAACTTTGATCTCATGGAGAACTATGGACATAGAAATAAAGATGGAAGCATACCTTATATGCAAAGATTGAAGCAATTATTTTGGCTTAGGTGCCAAGGATCCGAAATCTTTACGGGGCAATACCTGCAAACAAATATGATCAAATTTGTTAGTACCGTGAACAATATAGAACATATATATAAAACAAAAATAGTGTAAAATGAAGAGAAAAGGCTAACCGTCCAGAACACTCTGCCTTTAAGGAGACCGTAAGGAACAGCTCCAAAATTCCTCGAATCCTTCGAAGCGTAGATGTTATCTCCCTCCACCCAAACATGCCCTTTGGGAACCTAAAGCAAATAAATACAATAATAACTGGAAAAAAAGAAAAAGAATTGTTGAATATAGCAAAATTTGAAAGCAGGGAAAAAGAAATACCACAACAGTTTGGCATCTATCACTGTTCTTGGGGTCGACGACGTATGTGACCTGATCACCTTCCATTCCGATCAGCCGTTTGCAGACAATCTTCCTAGGAGACTCAGGGGAGCGTAGGATCACAACATCTCCAGTTCGAAGCTTGCCGGTGCGGGTCGATATGCGCTCCGCCAACAACAAATTGCCTGATATGTTCAAGGTCGGGAGCATGCTGGGACCGTAAGTCTATAAATTACCCAGTCATTGCCCCGAAGTAAAAAAAAAAAAGCAAAATTAAAACAGACATAGAAATAGAAATGATGAGTTTGGAAACAGCAGTTTGGGGATGGTTGAAAGATTGCTTACAAAAACGGCAGTGCCGAGATAGTTGTTGGTAACATGAAGCAAACAGAAGGCTCTCACTATAGAGATAAAGCTGCTCCATCCTCCCATCCCTCCTCTCTCCTCTCAAGCCAATTTAGATTTGGCTCCAACAAGAAAATGAAAAATCATGGTAATGAATTAGTGGGTAAATTTTAAAAAACCAAGGTAAATGAACTTGGTTAGTAAATGCTGGTGGGCTTACAAACTTGAATCATTGATTCTTGAATCGAATACCTCCTATGGGTCATGACCCATTTAGCTTACTTGGGGCTTCATTCTCTTTTTGTTTTGGTCAAAGGGCTTTAAGTATTGTTGCACAGCCTCTACTTTTCAATGTCTCTGAAACTGAGTTTAAATTGGTTAGCTGTAAGACATATAAGCTTGAAAAAGACACTGTTTTTTGTATTTCTTTCAACTTATCAAAGCCACAAGTACAACAATCTTCAGTAAGTGGCCTTTCAAGGTAAAGTCATAGTGGATAATTAACTGGCTTCAAAGCTCTTGAATAACAATGTATCATCTTGCTTTGAAATATACTGCCAAAAACATTCATCTCGAGAAATTAGCATTTTCTCGAACATTTGGTTAAACTTCAAGCAACAAACACTTTGACATAATGAAATGGGGCTTTTTATTATACAAATACTAAAAGAAATAAGCAAGTTGGAACCCCCAATGCCTAGTTCCACGAATGACAAAATAGAATCAAGAGGAGAGAGATGGGTCAAAATTGTTTCGGGAATGCTTGTAGACCTGGAGTTTAGTCACTGACAAGTCTTTCTGAAAAGCAGGAATTTTTGATACATAAAGCATCTTTTAATTTACCATCTTTAATGAGTTTTCAACCATTAAATTAAGTTGGTTGGAAAATGGCCAAGGCAATTAACAATAGCATTATGTTGGCGTAATGATTATAATGTTGATTCTATGAATCACTTCCTGAAAATAGCCAGCCTGTTTCCCTAAAAGTAGCCTCCGCACACAGAGTCAACTGTGGGCTACGAATTTATAGCTTGGTCGTAGGCTAACCCCACAACCCACACCCCACACACCCACCCCGGCGTCTGACACAAGCCGTGAATGGCCTGGGGTGGCCAGGGCTGCCCTTTTATTTTGCAGCGTAATGCATCATCCTACTGTTTATTTACATTAGATATTCACGTCAAAGAGGAAAGACTACACTCTAGTTTCGACATGATTTAGCTCTACTTCCATTACCATAAACCTATCTCTAAATTATAAAGGGCAGGAAAAACCATTGAATCCTGAAAACTCATTACAAGTTGAAAGTGATGGTGAGGGATATCCAACTTGGCGAGATTGATCCACGAAGTGGGTCCAACAAGCACAAAACTTCGCAGGAGTTGGAAAAGAGATATAAACAAAAAAGGTCGTGATGGTGCGCCACTAACACCACAGCCTACCGGCTCGAAGAGCAGGAATTATGGGGAATGAAAATGCACCATGCATGCATGACAATGAGCTCTCATATCCCTAAAAATATCAGCACACATAAGAGCATTAGTATTATGTATCAAGGAATCAAGACTGACACAGATTTGTGCAACTCATGCTCAGATACTGATAACTATATACATACAAACTGGATCAGCCCACCACCTAAATGTATAGACAGCACATATCTCTAGATTTCCAACAAATTAATTCCAAATATTTTGTTAGGGGGATAAAATCATGAGAATATAAAAAGAAGCAAAGAACGGACACCAAACAAGGACAGAAGTCTGAGCAAGTGGAGCTCAGAAGTCACAAAAGGGGATCAGAGTTCATCAGGGATTTGACAATTATACAAATACTTACGACATTTATTGAACAACAAGGAGTTAAAAAGTACGTGAAATACAGAAATCAAGCAGAGAAGAAACTACTAGTGAATATTTTAAAGTACATTACATTAACATTTAAAGCCGCTACTTGTACCATTTGGACAATGGCAACTAGAAACTTAGTACACATACTACAGAGACAGCTCCATCCCAAGTTCTCTCCATCCGAGAGAATGAAAGATGGGCTTCGAAAGTTTCAGCAGCAATTCGTGCACTGCACACCACTACTACTCGCATAACTGGAAATTCAAACACAAATATTAATTCTAAGTACCTGTCCTTATCTCTAGACTGCAAACCATCTGAGAGAGACAGCAAAGGAGGGGTACGCAACACAGAATCAACTTTAACTTCTAGAAGATGAGAGAACCACTATTACCACAATACAAGTTCAATCTCCATTATTGAAATTTCCAACTCCAAGCTTCTGTACTTCAACCTTGAGAGATTTGAGGTACCTAACAGCTTCATCAAGAACAGCTACAGTACCCATCTGATCAGCACCTGGAACAATACCACGTAAAACCTTCACCGTTTTCTTCATTTTCAGTCGCTTAATTTCAGGGTCACAACTACCACCACTACCTGAGGACTTCAGAGTAGAAGAACATAATCTATTCTTTCTTGGTTTTGAACAATATGCAGAGCAAGAATCAGCAGAGTCGCTTTCATAATTTCCAAAAGTACGTGCTGTGCTCATCTCTTCCTCATCATAGTCTTCTTGTTCTTCCCCTTCTGAGCTGAGTAGTGCATCAATATCATCCGAATCCTCTTTCAGAGAAGATGATGTTTCTTTTTCCACATCATTAACATCTTTTCTCTCATACTTGCCATCAATGTAAGTTGCAAAAATATTTAATCCATGACCATTAAGCTTGTGTGCAATACCAGGATTGAACATTATCTGATTTCTGTGATCAGACTGATCAAAAATAATGAAATTCTTGGGACAAACCTCTGAGGGTTGAAACTCAATGCCATGGAGTGGTGGCAATGGCTTTGAGCATGGAGGGAAAACTGTACCAAAAGCAGATGAAACTGGGATATGCATGTAATTATCACCCACTTGATCAGCAAGTGTGGGCACTGCTTTTGGGGGGTAAAATTGTTGGTCACCCTGCATTGAATGTCCTACTTAATCAAGAAGGTCACAACCGAGATTGCTTTTGGCTTCGAAGTTGCAATTATTCACTTTTTAAGTTGGAAGAAGGTTTGTAACAATAAATATGATAAGACTATAAACTAAACTAGTGGATTGCCATCAGAACATAACAGAGCTGCCTATCCCAATTACCATCAACACAGGTGTTTCATTCTGTCACAGCCTTATGCATAACACAACCAAATGGCAGACTCTCCCAGATCCCGGTTTCCAAGAGCTTTGAAATATTAGACTACGTAACAGGTTTAAGCAACTGACGGAAATACTCAGCCTGTGATAGCAAATAAAAATTCAAATCCATCAGCAATGCACAGAGAGCAATCTGCTCAGCCAAAAAACAGAAGATACTTGGTCCACTGACTATGTGGTATTACTCAATAAAATGAACAGAAACTTCAATCATGGTTGATGTTTTCTAGTAGCTTTTACAATTCTACTTTCATATGGAAGCCCATTAAAATGGTAAAAATTTCCACAAGTTTTCTACATGTCTGGACCTGTTGAGCTCACAACTTAGAAAATACACGACAGGAAAGAGAAATGAAAAGATATATGACAGATGTCTACTGTCGTGCATTACTCAAATTTAAATATAACTTCCTTCTCTTCAACTACAACAAACATAAATACACACACATATCCCCACACACGTGCAGGTCTCTGTGCATGTGCTATGTCCTGTGTGCATTAGGGAGACAGAGTTTTCTAATCAGTCAGTTGACAACTGAAAATCAAGAGGGATATTCAACCTATTACAATCATGCTACCACAAAATTAACAACAAAGCCATAAATGACATAGCATGGATTTATTTAAGACAATTTTTTAGGCATTTCAAACCATAAACAACACAGCGGAACAGCAACATAGCGAAACCCAAGACAGGTAAGAAAGAAATTTACCTGACAAACTTGAACTAACTGATAGTATGCAACAACACCAACGCTCATTTTAATCTTTCCAACTTCCTTAACTGCTCGATATCTCTTTATGGTTACTGCAATGTACATTCTCACACCTCCAACCAAATTTTTTTTTTTCAATCACCAATGACACTAAGTTGAATGAACTGAATCGCCTTCCAGATTCAAATCAAATTCACCTACAGCAGTAGAATAATTCCTTAGTAAAATAACCAGCAGTCACAAGCACATTAAAGTTTGAATTTTCAGTCTTATTCTGAAAAATTATAAGGCAAGCCAGCTATCATCATGTAAATTAAAACATATAGAATTAAACTAATATAAAACTTACCAAAAGCAAATGAAAATTACAGTATGACAAGAAAGAAAACCACCAAGCGCATACAATTCACAAAAGACCACGGCATTTTGTTTATCTGCGACTTAATCCCAAGTGATTATTAAAAAATAAATCCAAGATTCTTGCCTGCAAAAAAAAAAGCACTAATTAAACAAATGGAAATAGCAGTTAAATCAAATAGAAATAATTCTATTAAGGAACTAAAGGATCTTCTATTAATAAAAAAGAAACTAAATAAAAGGAAAAATTAGAAAGAAAAAACAAGAGGAAGTTCAATATGACAACAGAGAAAAATCTTAGATAATAAAAAAGAAACACAAATATAGCTGTAATTTCAAAACATCACTATCCATGAAAAATCACCAATTTCTCAGTAGAACTAGAAAATAAATTGCAGAGAGAAAATGGGGAAAAGAACACAGAGACCTGCAAACATACCCCCCTCAACCAAAAAGATCAACAAAAGATCATAATTAAGTCAATATATTATCTCATTTTATGGGAAAAACATAAATAATCAAGCGGAAAAAAGGAGAATAAGATTAAAATAATCATCCTTACAAGATAAAAGCTCAAAGAAAAGCAAAAAGAGGAGAATAAATCGAAGGATTGGAAGCAGCCAAAAAGGAGAGGAAGGAGAGACAACTGGTCTGATAAGGAGAAAAAACCCCTAGATTTGCGCTGAAGAAGGTTGCAGAGTTAATTAAGAGAGTGAAGTTGGGTAAAATTTTTGGTGTGAGCAATTAATTTCTTTTGTGGAGAAAAAAACATTTATTGGGATGTGTGAAGGCAGGAGTCAAACGCGGTAGGATTTGAGCCGTTGGATTTGGGGCGTTTCCTTGTAACGCGGAAGGGAAAGTGGCCGTTGGATGCACGCGTGACATTGAGGGGGAAGGAGTGGGGCTCACGAGGTTTGACGATTTTGCGTATCGTGGAATCGACTCTTCTTCTCTCCCCAGTGACTTGCTTTTTGGTTAAGCCCTTTTAATCCTTTGTTATTTATTAGTATTATTATTTGTCTAATCAAAAAAATAAAGAAGAAATTCTTGTGGTAAACGTGGCCTAATGTGTTTCAATAATCATGATTAAAACAAAAAATATAATTATTTTTTAAAAACTAAATAAAATATTTTTTATTATATTTAATCAAATTATAAATTTTTATTTTAATAACAATCATTAACTATTATTATTTCAATTATAATTTATTATTTTATATTCGTATTTTATATTAAAATATTTAATTTAATAATTGATATATTTTTTTATTTAAAAAACAATATTCAAATTCTCATATACCCTAATATTAAAAGTAACCATTTTGATATTTTCCTTATCTAATTATTCATAAATAGCACAGAGCTAATAACTATAATCATTTTATGAATAATTGTACAACTAAATTATTTGTCATTTTTCATTTTTTTAAATTATATATTCAAAATGGAAAATTCTTAAATGCATTTATTAAAAAATTAAAAAAAACAATATTGAGGTTAATATTTAGTAAGCATTATGCAAATGCCACAATATGTCGTGTACATGATTGCCTTAAAGGAAAAAAAAAATGCAACAATATTATGTACTATTAATGAAAGAATTTCATATATTGATTGATTTTTTTATTGAATTATTACAAAGATATATAGAAAAATATTGATGTTGTTTAAATTGCTAGTTTAATTGTGCCAAAAAGTGTGTTTCATTTTGGAAAAAAGAAGCATTCTTGAAAGAATGAGTAATTCACGTGTAACTACATCATGCGTTTAGTGGACAGCAGCATTCATGTTTGCTGGCTTTAATTGACTAATCGGACGACGTTTCATATATTCACCATGTCCTTTTTCAGTCTCAAGTTTATCGGGCCAGCTTAATAACTTGAAAAGCTTAAAGCTAAATATTTAAGTGACTTTTTATTAAATTAAAGTTTTAATTCAATAAATTAATTATCATATAAAATAAAAATAATATAATAATATAATATAAACTCTAAATTAAAATAAAAAATTATAAAAATTAAAATAATAGTATCTAATTGTTGAATATTTATTACAAATAATAAATGAGACTTACGATTTTATATAAAAAATATTATAATAAACTTACTGTATATTTTTTACAAAAAAATTAAAATTAAAAGATAAAAGAACAACTGAGAAAAAAAGAATTGAGAAGTGGATATTATAAATTGGAGAATAAAAAATTTTACATATTAAAAATTACTATTGAACATAATTATTTTAATTTTTATATATTTTTAATATAATTAATTATATTATTATTATTATAAAATTAGAGAGCTAGACAAATTTGGGCCTAAAGCCACCCTTACCTTTGAGCCGGCACGGGAGTTCATTGTATAATTGTTTGTTTTTTGATTATCGAAAAAGAAAAAGAGGAACAAGTTTTGCGTCAAAAGAACTAAACATGGCTCTATGAGACCTAAGACAACTTTTAGAAACTAGAGGGCAACAAGCAACAGCCCCAAATTATTCAAAAGCAAAACTGAAATATTGCAGGATTCTTAAATTAATGGAAAGAACATGAGAGTCTTGCTACTTTACTGTAAAGACAATATTGAAATTCCATTGTAGTTTTTCACAGCCTTGAGCCAGTTAGTCGTGAGAATATTGGTAGGCGCAGTTACCATAACCTGCAAAAGAATCCGAAATCCAAGCTCAAAACAAGGTTTATAAAACAATTCCCATTTTGGATTTAAGATTAACAGAAATGGGCGCCAATTTACTTGGATCATTTGAGACAAGGAGGCCGGTCTCCCTGAAGTCACAGCTCGATTTCTTTCTTCCTGTGGTCTGGTAGTAAAGATTCATGGCGTACGAGGCATGGTTAACGAGAGTGGTTGGGTAGAAGCATGCACCACCAGAATGAGTCGGGCCGCAGTCCACCTGGTTGCATGCAAAGTTGATGTTCTGCTGCAGCAGGTCATCGCTTGTTCCAGGCTTTGCCACGCACCAATTTCCCTGCAACCCCATAATCATTAGATGCCAAGTTTTACCTAAACTAGTTATTGAAGTTGACATATTGTTGCACCAAATTACCGATGGTTCTTGCTCTGCTAGAGCTCCTCCTGCAGAGGGTTGTCAGCGTCATCAAAGAGTAAACAGATTTTAGGCAAATGGATGACATAAACAGATTTTAGGCAAATGGATGACAGCTATAATCTGCTGTTATTTCAAAGTATGGATACCAAACGGAGTATCCAAATTCAGTAAATATGGCAGTTAATCATAATTACATACCGCTTTGGAAAGTGCAGTTACCATAACCTGCCAAATGTTACAAAACCAGGAACTGTAATTTACCATAAGATTAGCCATTTAAAGGGACTGGCAGAACTCAAATTGTCTACTCGGGTGGCACTTACTTGGATCAGTCAAGGAGACTACACCGGAGCGTCTAAAATCACAATTGGCACGGTGCCTGCCATAAGTTTGGTAGTACAAGTTCATAACATATGAGGCATGGTGCATTTGAGTATCTGGCTCGAAGCATGGACCGTCCGGTTCTATCAAGCGACAATCTAATTGACTGCAAACGTATTCAATGTTTGCTGCCAGTTCAGAATCGCTGGATAATGGATTTGCTATGCACCAAGTCTTCTGCAACATCATGGAATTGTAAACCAGCACTAAAATCCAACCAAAATGTTCAGGTACAAAATGGTAGAATGAAAATTTTTGTTCAAGAATTTACTTGTCCGTTAGCCATCTTTAGAGGACTTCCTGCATAAATTTACATTAAAGTCACAGATTAGATAGGATCATGCTCCAAAATATAAAGGTTTTAGTGTGCTTAACTTGAAAAAAATATATGCATTTCAGATGAGTATCCAATTCTAGAGTGCAAAATGTTGTAGATTAATGCTTCCATTGAGAAAGGACAGCTTGTGATGTTCAATTTCGAGCAGTACTGCTCAAATCAAGAAGAAATATTTGTCCCAAGAGAAATATACAAGGTTGAACAAGGAGTTAAGTTTATAGTTCCACTCCCCTACGCCAAATAAAATCATACAAGAATAACCAGAAGTTACCTGAGTACAACAATGAAAACAGAACAAAGAGGGAGAAAATGGGGAGGGTAAAACTTGGTTTAGCCATTTTGATTCTGTGAATATGGTCATGCAAAGTGGATTAAGATAAAGCAAGTTCAGAGTCAGGAGAGCACGCGTTGATTTGAATATTAGAGCTGAATGTTTAGTCCCAATTTGGATAGCTGCTCTTAAAGCATCCTCATGCTCGTTCTAACATGAAAATGGTGTGAATATTGCATTCAGTTCCCTGGCAAAATCACGTCCCAACAGATTGAGGGGGTTAGGTAATGCTCAATATTCATGTTCAAGGGTCCACTTGTAACACGAATCTCCTACACGCTCCATGTACTTGTACCAAAAGTAACCAAAACAATTGCATGCATTTTGGTGAAAAGAAAAAGTGATTGAAAGGCCCTGGAAGCCTGGAAGACAACTGTTCAAAAGATCAGAAACTAAATTCTTCAAGGACAGAACAAAACCAAACCAAGTACATTTAATTTAACCTTTTGATTAAATAAATATTTATGGCAAACAATTCTAGGTGCTTTTTGCCCTTTTAATGTGTGCACAACAGAAAGCTGTTAGATCCCCACAATGAAAGTTGAAAATTTGAACTGCTGTTGGCTTTCGCTTGAATCAATGTTTTTGAGCCAGACGCTTTTCGATGGAGAGGGTGTGAGCTGCTCTGAGGAACCTGAGCAAAGTGGGCATAGTAGAAAAATAAAGAGCAAAAGAACTTCCATGGAACATAAGTAATTCTAGTATATTTACTTTGGAGATACCAATATGTAATATATCTAGCTATAAATGCATCATCCGTAACCCTGCAAAAAGAGATAGCTCCAAACTATAGCCACATAGTTTTAACCATATTAAAAAAAAATACAGAAATCGGAAATTGAATATATGAAAGCTAAAAACAAAAAAAGTTTATTTGTATCAGTTACTTTGTCTTCCTGTCCTGTGCTCACGTTTGCCAGCAGCAAAGAAGAGGCGAGTATGGGCTTGGCAACGCATCAATGGTATTTTTATTCATTATATTTTTAAATTGTTGTTTTAAGTATTTTTATTATATTTATAATTTATAAATATAGTGATATATATATATATAAGTAGGAATGTTGAAAAATTTTTAAAAATGAAAAAATATACAGGCTGAAAAATGAAAGGGTCAATTCAACCATAGTTGCTTAGTATGTAAGGTACCGACATCTTTTATTAGGTATTAAATAAGTTTGAAATCAATATTCTAATTATAGGAATTCGAATACATGTATGACTGGTATATTTTTATCCCATTTCGAATGCGTAACTTAATTAATATCTTTATTTAAGTTCGATATGATTAAGAATATTTCAGTCTTACTTTCAATAAAAAGAGCATGGTGATAACATGAGCTTCCAAGAAGAAGAGTAGTGGATCTTTGTTTTCGGATTCTTCATAAACTTTTACCATGCCTGACTCAAAAGTTCCAGCCGACGCCGACGACGCCAGCTGCCCTTCTTGCAACAACTTGCTATCACCACCACCCCCACGGCGGCAGAGTGGGAGATGAGGTCTGTGTACAGAGTAAAACTAAGTAAGTCGGTTTCGTGAACGTCTAAAAGATATTTTAGTAAGAATCTGCCGGATTAGAGGACCAATCCTTGAAGAAAATCACGTTATGGTACTGTAAATCTTCTGAGCATATCGAGGAACATCCAGAAATAGGCGATATTAGGCGCAGCTTCAGAAGAGAAATATCCAGCAAGTTTTGCAACAAGGAGGAAAGTTAGTTTTCGGCGGCGGCATTGAAGATGGGGGCAGTGCGACGACTGATGTGGTGGTAAAAATCCACCTGGTTCAGGAGTTGGGTAGCCTCAGGCGTTAGAAGACTCGGAGGAAGCAATGTGCCCTCTGCTTAGAGGGTCTGTCCCTTGCTCTTAATTGATATTACCGTGCTGGCACATGTACCATCGCAAACTGCATTCTCCATGGCTGCGTACAAAACAAGAGTGTCCTGTCTGTCGCCACCATTTGCCAAGGCATTTAATTTGCATTCATTAGGCAGTGTAGAAGACATTCTGTTTTTCTTTGTTTTAGTTCATTACTGTAGCATATAAATCTGTAAGTAGAAAGTAAAATGTAATTATGTAATTAGACTCCTTCAATGACGACAACTTCTTTCTTATATGGATACTATATGTTTCCTGGCTAATCCAAAGTCCAACACTTTTAAAGTATAATTTTTTTTTGTTATTTCACTAGAGATCTAATAAATCTAAACTCGTTCAGAAGTTTCTTTGACAGAAAACAATTGTAAGTTGTGTTTCTTGCTTTCTTAATAGCAGTTCCAAACTTCTGCTATATCGAGCTGATGACCATGGCATATATTTTATCCCTAAGTGGCTAAGTTCATCAAAATCCCTTTCGTAACTTCCCTAGTTAGTTTTTCTGTACCAAGTTTTTGGAGTTTTGAGGGTATCCGGTGTTAGCTTTTTCAATATTTTTTGTTATATTTATTAAGTATCATAAAGTAGATAGAAAAAAGCCAAGAGAGTGGCCACAGACGCAGCAGAGCCGAAATCAAGTAGGACTTTGTCCATACAAATCCACCCAATTCAGAGTAGAACATATACCTACTTTAACACATTCGGAAAATCATCAGAAAGACAAACTGCATCATCATTGCAAGAATACAACCAACCTGCACGCAAGAACTTTAGGAGATAGAACAGGCGTGCCATCCGCCTAGCCTGAGAAGCATCAGAACAGACATATCATGCTGGGACCAAACCAAATCAAATACTGCCCCAAGCATCAAGTAAACCCATATATCGCAGTTATGCATAGAACATCTGCACCAAATTTAGCTAAAGAGTCCGCCATGGCATTTGCCTCTCTAAGAGTATGACCAAAAGCGATGTCACTTACAACATTACAAAGACTATCAATCTCATTGAATGTCTTTCACAGAGCCCTTGGTCTTAGTCTCCTCTCCTTCACCCAAACCAATGCTACCTTAGATCTGATTCAATTATCAGTTTCCTAGAGCCCACCCGAAATGTGGAGCAAAAAGTTTGAAGGCGCAAAATATATCATCAATTTTGAATAGTTCAAATCTTGGTTATCCAATGGTCCATAGAAAACGCCTCTTATGTGGCCTGTTGAGAACTTTTTTTTTTTTTTTGAAAATGAGAAGCATATTCGTTCATTATCACAAGGGATAGGAGTTCCCATTCAATTACAAGCAAGAGCCCCTGACTTTGGCAAAAATGCTTCACAAGAACAAAGGAAGAAAAGAACTCAAAATTATGGCACAGGCAAGTCACCTAAACCTTTGGGAATAAAAACAGAAGAACGCATCCTAAACATCAAAAAAAAAAAAAACCTAAACAAAAGAAACGCACCAGGTTATCCTGGAAGTGTCAATACTACACCAATCCGTGGTTGCATGTGTTGTTCGGGTAGACACAATTTCTAAGGTTTAACCACCACTGATTCTTTCTTCATTACCGCATTTCCCTCGCTCGATTTAAATCATTGAAAGCATTTTGATGAGAGAGCAACTCCTCACCGTCCTATTTCTGACGCTTAAAAGGAAATATTACGGCGCCTTTAGACTATTTTTTGATGCCTTTCACACAATTGTAGAATCATCCTCACCATCAGACTATTTTTTTTTTAATTTTATTTACAGTTCCCCCATGGGACTAAGTATTTGTTCTTGTTCCAAACTAGAATGCAGAAATGATCCTGTATGTCCTGGATGTAAGTGTGTCTTTTGGCAACTTGTTCTGAATAACCTGTGCGTTTAGCACATATATATTATACCCGAATAATTTTGCACTCTATAATAGTATTTGATTGTTCTAACATATGTCTGTCTCCCGGTCATTCTTAATATGTTAATTATGGTGGGGATAACATGAAAGTAAGAGGCAAAATGTACATATGAAGGAGATGCAGGAGTTGATGGAGTGGAGGTGCGGAGGTGCTGCACTAGACTATTTTTCAGGCAACAATTGCAGGGGCTTTAGTAGCACTAGAGACTTCATGGATGATAATGATATCTAGAACACACATCATACTGAAAATTTGCATCTCTGAACCATATATACACAACAGCTCACACTTGTCCTCTTTTATCTCACTTATAATTACCGATTTTGCATGGTGAATGGAAGTTTATATACAGCAAGTTTACGCGTTGCAAATATTCAATTCACAAGCGACAGAACATGCATTAGATATTTATGTTCAGGCAGTAATGTTGATTTATTAAACATTGTAACTACTAATTTGTTTACCTGGTTGACTTCTGAAGGGAATGTTTAATCTTCAAAAAATGCTACTTGTAGAATCAAGTTGCCTGTTAAATTTATCTTAATTTCCCTTAAACAGATGCTGCCTGCATGTCAAATTGGTTCCTCAAGAATCCATGGCGCCATGCCTTAATATAATCTGCAGCTGCTCAGTTATTTTGTCTTATTAATCACCAGAAAGGAGCTTATTATATGTTGTAGGATGAATTAGTGGAGAAGGATTTCAATGTAGTGGCAGAAGCTCTTGATATGAAGCAGTTCCAACACGTCAAAATCATGCATAATTTCATAGAGAAGTAACAAAAGCTGTTAGTTTTCCAGCAAGAATCAAATTGTATTAAAACCCTTGGTTTTTCTATTAAATATTTTGTATTATCACTATCACACACGTGTGTGTGTGTGTGTATATAGTATGTTAACATTTATTTTTTTTAATTTATAATTAATAACAGGTAATGTAATAAACGAATAAATATATAAAGAAAATACTTTTTAAAATTTTTGATATATATGGACCAAAGTTCAAACCACCTGTTATAGAATTTAATCTGCTAGATATAAATTTATAAATTTGACGATAAAGAAGTAATAAAGACTTTGGCTACATTTTATTGCAGACTAAACCCAGAAGCCTTCAAATATATATTGCATCTCAAACCTGTTTATTATAGCCCCTCACTGTTTATCAGTTATCTATAAAATTACCATTTTGGCTGGGAAAAAAAACAAAAAATCCCAAACCTCCTATGGATACTGGCAGCTTCCATAGCCTGCAATTAGATATGTGCAAAAATTATGAACAAAAAGGAAGATGAACTTCAACAGCATATTAATCAAATATCACATAACACAAGGTTTGATTTTCATGGTGAAATCCCAAATATATCATTGCGTTAAAAATTTTTAAAAATGAATACTCATAATTTTAAAATATTTATTTTTAAAAAAATTTAAACTTTTATCTTTAAAAAAATTATAGAAATTGCTATATGAATAACTGTCCTTTAAATTAAAATATCAGAAGAAAAGGGATTTACTTGGATCAGATATAGTGATTAGAGCAGAGCCTCTAAAGTCACAGTTCCAGATGTTACGGCCAAAGGCATGGTAGTAAGAATTCATGACTACAGATGCATGGTTGATGAGAGTATTGGGGTTGAAGCAGATTCCATCTTCTTTTATCATGTCGCAGCTCAATCCCAGGTTTCCAAGTTGAGAACAGGCAAACTGTATGTTGGAAGCAAGTGCTGTATCATTGGAGGAAGGTTTCGCAACACACCATGTTTTGTCCTATGAAATTAAACAGGGGAAATTGACTTAGAAAATTCTATCAATCAAACAACGGACTTTTCATGGAAAATAGTACTAGCAAAAACTATCACAGTTAGCAGTGATATTCTACCTGTCCATTGGCCAACTTCAGCAACCCCCCTGCATAAATAGCACAAGAAAAATCATTATGTTTATCAATTTGGAAACACGATAAGTAGTTCAGAATTTTGATAACTGTTCATCAACTTCACAAATCAGGTTCAAGGGCAAACCATTAATAGACAAGAGGAATTGCACCATGGTCAGGTCCACGTCAAGTATTTTGCAAAACAAAAGGCACCATATGATAGTATTAAAGCTTTGATTAATTTTTCTTGTGGAAAAAGAAAAGAATGAATTAGTTTACTTGATTTTGTAGAAAGAAGAGATAAAGCAAATGTATAATGGAGTATCACATCATTCACTCGAACCATCCTCTGGGAATCAAGAAGAGGAAAATATGGAAAGCAATGAAATGGAAAGTTTAGATGCAAGGCAATTAAAATGCATAAGTGTGACATGAGAAAGTTTAGATGCAAGGAGAAAAAAGCTAACAAAATGGAAAAATAATACCAGAGCTGAATGACAGAAGGAGAAGAATGCAGAGAATGGGAAGTGACACAATTGATTTAGCCATTGCTCTTTGGTTGCAGTAAATATTTCAAAGATAGTGAAGAAAGATAACTTTGGTAATGAAAATGAAGATAAAAGTTCAAATATATAGGGTGGATAATGCTATTGCCCCACCGTAATTTGTTGCTTCCATAACATTGTAAGAAATTCATTTTCTGTGAAAGGCTGACAGCAGCCAAAACTTTCCTGGCACTAGTAAGCATCTCCTCGCGGAGGGGTCAGTTAATGCTTAACGTCTAGCCTTAATGGTCCCGTTCACAGGGAATATGTTTTTCTCTCTTCTAAGTATGATTATTGAAGAAGACAAGTTTCACTCCTAATCAACCTATCCTCGTTCTTCTCAACAAGTATTAGACCATCCAGAGTACGTAGAAGTTCCTGTTATTAACGATATTCCCACTCAAACAGTCCAAATCTCAAAGGAATATATGATACCTTTCACACAATTGTACCATCAGACTACTTTTTTGATGCATTTCACCCAATTGTAGAATCATTCTCACCATAATACTCTTTTTGGATGCCTTTCACACAATTGCAGAATTTCGCCATAGGACTAAGTGTTTGTTCTTGTTCCAAACTAGAATGCAGAAATGATTTTAAATGTCCAGGATGCATGTCTTTTGGCCAACTTGTTCTGAATAACCTGTGCGCTTAGCACATATTATATCAGAATAATTTTGCATTCTACTATAGTATTTGATTGCTTTATCATATATTTGTCTCCTGGGGCATTCTTAATATGTTAATTATGGTGGAGATAAGTGAAAGTAAGTGGCAAAATGTACATATGAATGAGATGCAGGAGTTGATGAGTGCAGGTGCTGCACAAGACTATTTTCACAGGCAACAATTGCTGGGGTTTTAGCACTAGAGACTTCATGGATGGTAAAGCTATCCAGAACACACATCACACTGAAAATTTGTATCTCTGAACCAGACACAACAGCCGACATTTATCCTCTTTATCTCAATTATTACGGATGTTGTATGGTGAATGAGAGCTATATACAGTGAGTTTACACTTTCCAAAGATTCAATTCACAAAACAGAACATATAGCAGCCTTGCGAAGAACATATTAGATATTTATGTTCAGGTATTTGATTGCATTGGAGACTATTGGCATCGCAACAATATATCATTAGGCAGTTATGCTGATTATTAAACATTATAACTACTAATTTGCTTTTCTGGTTGACTTCTGAAAGAAATATTTAATCTTCAAAAAATGCTATCTGTAAAATCAAGTTGCCAGTTTAATTTATCTGAATTGCCCTTAAACAGATGCTGCGTGCATGTCAAATTGGTTTCTCAAGAGTCCATGGCTCCATGCCTTAATTAATCTGCAGCTGGCTAGTTATTTGGTCTTATAGGTTACCAGAAAGGTGCTTATTCTATGTTGTAGGATGAATTAGTGGAGAAGGATTTCAATGTAGTGGCAGAAGCTCATGACATGAAGCAGTCCCAACACGTCAAAATCATGCATAATTTCACAGAGAAGTAACAAAAGCTGTTAATTTTCTAGCAAGGATTGAAGTGTATAATGCACCTGTTATATAGAATTTAATCTCCTAGATGTAAACATATAAATTTGACGAAATAGAAATCCATGGAAGGAGTATAAAGACTTTGGCTACATTTTATTACAGACTAAACCCGGAAACCTTCAAATATATCTTGCATCTCAAATCTCCCATCCATACTGGCAGATTCCATAGCCTGCAATCAGATATATGTGCGAAAATTATGAACAAAATCAGATATATGTTTAAGATACAGTCAGTGTATAGATTTTTTACATTATTATTGAATTAATCGCCCTTTTAAATTAAAAAATTAGAGGAAAAGAGGTTTACTTGGATCAGATATAGTGATTAGAGCAGAGCCACCAAAGTCACAGTTCCAGACCTGACGGCCAAGGGCTTGGTAGTAATAATTCATGACTACAGATGCATGGTTGATGAGAGTATTGGGGTAGTAGCAGATTCCAGCTTGTTGTATCATGTTGCAGCTCAAACCCAGGGTTCCAAGTTGAGAACAGGCAAAGTTGATGTTGGACGCAAGTGCTGAGTCATTGGAGGATGGTTTCGCAACACACCATGTTTTGTCCTATGCAATTAAACAGGAGCAATTGAGTTAGAAAATTCTATCAATCAAACATTGGGTTTTTCATGGAAAATAGCACTAGAAAATACTATCACAGTTAGCAGTGATACTCTACCTGTCCATTGGCCAACTTCAGCAACCCCCCTGCACAGCACAAGCAAAATCATTAAATATGTTTATGAATTTGGAAACACGATAAGTAGTTCACAATTTTGATAATTAGTGATCAACTTCACCAATCAAATTCAAGTGCAAACCATTGACAGACAAGAGGAAGTCTACCCTGGTCCAATCCACGTCAAGTATTTTGCAAAACAAAAAGGCACGATGATGATATTAAAGGTTTGATTGATGTTTCTTGTGGAAAAAGAAAAGAATGACTTAGTTTACTTGATTTTGTAGAAAGAAGAAGAGATAAAGCAAAAGTGTGATGCAGTATCACATCATTCACTCGTACCATCTTCTGGGAATCAAGAAAGAGGAAAATATGGAAAGCAATTAAGTATCGAATTCAAAATTTTCAACACTTATCTACTCCTCCCATATCCAGAAGATATGTAGAAGATCATTAGAGCCTCTTATTTACCACAATCCATTTCAAGTTTTGATTTGAAAAGTAACAGAACACAATAAAGGAGCCCAATCCTAGCTTGGAATTGATCAATGTGTTAAGCTTATAACGCAAGGCAATTAAAATGCATGAGTATGATATGTGAAACCTTAGTTGCTAGGAGAAAAAAGCCAACAAGATGGAAAAACAATACCAGAGTTGAATGACAAAAGGAGCAGGAGACACAGAATGGGAAGTGACACAATTGATTTAGCCATTGCTCTTTGGTTGCAGTAAATAATTCAAAGATAGTGAAGAAAGATAACTTTTGGTAATTAAAATGAAGATGAAAGTTCAAATATATAGGGTGGATAATGCTATTGCCCCACCGTAATTTGTTGCTTCCACAACATTGTAAGAAAGTCATTTTGTGTGAAATCAGTCAAAACATTCCTGGCACTAGTAAGCATCTCCTTGCGGAGTGGTTAGTAAATGGTTAACGTCTAGCCTTAATGGGCCCGTTCACAGGGAAAATGTAAAGGGTAAGGGCATATGTTTTTCTCTCTTTAAGTATGATCATTGAAAAGACAAGCTTCACCCCTAATTAATTTCGAGTTGTAAGCTTGTTTAATCCAAAGTGTTAGAAAACCAAAGGAGCTGAACCGGTTAGGGACCTGGTAAAAGAAAAGAACCCACAGTTATATCTCTCCTGTCCTAAGAAGTAAGAACAATACTTGTCTTTATTTCAAAAAATTAAAAAAAAAAAGAATATATTTGTCTTGTCTCTGGCTGATCGCAGTCAAGAAGACTGGTCAACTTGGTCACCACCTTACTAATTTCAACCATATTTCTAAATTTAAAAATAAAATAAAATAAAATGGAAAAGGCTACTTCAAGTTGGTTACAAAACCGCGGGCTACGACAGAATCAGTTGAACAAATGCGAACTGCAGAAGGTTGGCATCAGTCGGAATTTAGACCAAAGAAGATTCCATCTCTATTTCTAGGGAGGGTCTGCTTGTCAATAGCTTTGCTTTTGTTATTGTAAGTTGTAAATTACAATCAGTTGTGTAAAATTTAGAAAATTTTGGATTAGAGTGTTAACATTTAACACTGTGGTGACTGTGGAGTTGATGATACTAAGATTAGAGTGACAGAGATGGAATCCGAGAGGGCCATGTGCGGGCACAAAAGGGTGAGAGGCAAGTAAAATTGTGGGCTGAAAAAATAAATGAGTGCTTTATATAATTATACCTTAATAATTTGATCGCCACATTAATAGAACTTTTTTATGCATAATAAACAGGCCAAATCTTTGCTTCTATCAAAAATGATAGTCTGCTTTGCATGAACCAGCTTTATACATATGTAGCATATTGTCCTTTTGTTTCGCTCTGGTGTTAGAATATTCTTATCAAGATATATTCATAATTTTCAATATATATATATATGTAGCATATTCTTGAAATGCAACATGTTTATTGTCTTCACTTATACAAGCTGGATGCCTTTTGTCAACAATTTGGTCATGGTTGGAGTCAAGTTTGTCAACTGTCTCTGCCAGACTGGATTTTGTTTTGGATTAAACATTAAGAATTAGACAAATGAGATTTACTAAACTCTTCAGGGAAAGGAATTAAATGGTTCAGGAAAGATTTACACATATGAATGGTCTGGAATGCAAGCATTAGGAAATATGGGGGCGCGGGTTAACATGTATTTCGTCATATACCCATCCTTTCTTGATGATTAACAATCCTTTTCTGTTTGATGAGTTATATAACCAATGAAATCATGAACCAGGGATCTACAGAATGCTGGACCATGTTGTATAGTAGAAGCGGAGTGTCAACAGAGTATGAATCTGACTGGTAACTTCCCATGTCGTAGAAGGAAGGATGATATAGACTGGTTTTTGTTGAGATAATGACATACACCAAGCAATCGTACTATAAAAAGAATAGACACCTTCCATACACGATAGGAAATTGCAAGCGGTCCTTAACAATCTACCAACTATTGTTGGCATAATACCACCCTCCACAAAGATAACTATCTCCGGTCTTGTACCAGCCTGACCCGGGTGCCTACTAGCTGTTCTTGGTTGAATTGTATAGCTTCTCATAGCCTCATGGTTCTCACGCCATTGAATGAAGTTCAAAGCTTCATGCTCTACAACTTGGGTTAATGACAACAACCATGAAGTTCAAACATTCCATGAGTAGTAGATTATCAAACAGGTGCAATGTGCAACACTTAAAAGTCCAACTTGTTATCATGTGTATATATATATATATATGAGTCTCTTTTATGCAAGACCCGAATATTCTAAGCTAGACTTTGCTCTTTTTTTTTTGAAAAGTCTAAGCTAGGCTTTTCTTAAAGGGTGTAAACAAAGACTCAAAATCCTGCTTGCAAAGTTCATAATATATATTTAAAGTCCAATTTATTATTCATCTGTGGTTTGGTTTTCTAATTAAGACCCGCTTAACATCTATCTATTCTACATATATTTATATATATATATATACTGTTTTATGACAGATAATATGAATTTTCTACAGAAGTGATATAGTTCACTAATCCTGACAAAAGTTAAAACGAAAAATGAGAACATATTCTCACTGTTTTGATTGCAAATGTGGCCTTGTGATATATTAAACTAATACAATTGTACAATTCATAAGGTAGAAAACATTATTATAATTGAGGCTCTTGAGATAGGGTGACTTCCAAACTTCAAATACCAAAACTGTTTTTTTCCCTTTATTGCTCTTAGTTTATCTCCTTTTTCACATTCTACATTCTAGAATAAAGCTAGCCAATTAATTCGAGCTACAACATACTAATATATCACTATATTATATTACTCAAATAAATTAGGCCCACAAACACGTCGGCATAATCTCTAATCTGTACTGAAATCTATCCTGTCTTGGTTCACTGGCTCGCCTGCTTTACTCTTTTGGCACCAAGCACTCAAATTGCCAAACCTCATCCTTTATTATTATTATTTTTTTTGGCAGTAATACTGCTGCTGCCCAGACCTGTATGGCTACATCCAACAGTGTCAACTACGCGTTTACCAGTTGAAATGTTGGACATTCCCCATTTGCCGCCTAACATTCTGGATTATCATTGCTACACGCGGTAGAAACCATAATCCACTGATATTGACATTGGCTTAGAATTAATGAAATGCATATTGGATTAATTATGTAATTTGGTTTCTGACAGGAGTGGTATGTGGATCAGTCAACGATTTTGGAATCGACTTCTCCTTCCCTGTTAGCTTGTAAAAATATAAGGAAAACGACTCCGTGGGTTTGCACATATCTTTTTCCATAGAAAATAACCAGTAAGTTATTATCACTGAGCTGAAAGTCAAGGATATGATGCTCAGTTGGACTTCAAAAACTCCTTGCAGTCATTGACTAATGATGTGATGTCAAGTTGATGAGGGTTTTCCGGATCATTGATTGGTTGGCAATTTGCATATAAGCGTGTCATTTGATCCAAATTTGTCATCAGTTTCTTTCAAAACAGCTTTTCAGTAATATTACTCTAGCCAGCAATGGTGTCAAAATGTGTCAGTTTAATCATAATCGTACTTTGTTCTGTTTTAGTTAATGTACTGTGTGCAGAACCAAGCTTGGAAGTTGAAGTTGAGGCCCTGCAGGCGTTCAAACGTTCTATCACTCATGAACCGTTAGGACAACTTGCAGATTGGACAGAGGCAAATCATCACTGCAACTGGTCTGGTATTGCCTGTGACCCTTCCTCGAGTCGAGTCATTTCAATCTCCCTGGTTGATAAGCAGCTCAAAGGGGAGATATCTCCATTCCTCGGAAATCTTTCAAGCCTCCAGGTTCTTGATTTAAGTTCAAATTCATTCTCAGGTCATATTCCACCTCAACTAGGACTGTGCTCCCAGCTTTCTGAACTGACTCTTTACAACAACTCTCTGTCGGGTCCAATTCCACCAGAAATAGGAAATCTTAGAAATCTGCAGTTAATAGATTTAGGTGATAACTCTTTGAATGGAAGCATCCCTGATAGCATTTGCAGCTGCACTTCCTTGTTAGCTCTTGGTATTATTTTTAACAATCTCACAGGCACAATTCCAAAAGACATAGGAAACTTGGTTAATCTTCAAATTTTGGTAGCATATGGCAACAATTTGCAAGGTTCAATACCAGTTTCCATTGGCATGTTGGGAGCTTTGCAATCTTTAGACCTAAGTGAAAACCAACTGTCTGGAGTAATACCTTCACAGATAGGGAATTTGTCGAGCTTAGAATATCTTCTTCTTTTTAAGAACTCACTCGTGGGAGAAATTCCATCTGAACTAGGTCATTGTAGGATGCTTCTGGCCCTTGAACTCTACACCAACAAGTTCACGGGAGCCATTCCTTCTGAGCATGGAAATTTGATTCACTTACAAACTTTAAGATTATATGAGAATAGGTTGAATTCCACAATTCCTCTCTCTCTATTCCAATTGAAATCATTAACCCATTTAGGACTCTCGGTGAATGAGTTGACTGGGACAGTACCTAAGGAGCTTGGATCTCTGAGCTCATTAGAGGTACTGACCCTGCATTCCAATAAGCTCAGGGGGGAGATGCCGTCATCAATAACCAACTTGACAAATTTAACGTATCTGTCTATGAGCTACAATTTTCTCACAGGAGAACTTCCACCAAATATTGGGTTGCTTTATAATCTAAAGAACTTGAGTTTGGACGTCAATCTTCTCGAGGGATCCATTCCTCCAAGTATCATCAATTGTACCCGTCTTCTGTTCATTTCTTTGGGTTTCAATAGGATGACTGGGAAAATTCCATCAGGTTTAGGACAGTTGCCAAATTTAACAATTTTATCTATTGGGCCAAATAGGATGTCAGGTGAAATCCCTGACGACCTCTTCAACTGCTCAAATCTTCGTATTCTAAGTATAGCAGAAAACAGTTTTAGTGGATCGATAAAACCAGATATTGGCAAACTCTATAATGTCCAGGTTCTGAAAGCTTCCTTCAATTCATTTTTAGGGGCAATTCCACCAGAGATTGGCAATTTAAGCCAGCTCGTGACCTTAACCCTTTCTGGAAATGGTTTCACAGGCATAATCCCACCAGAATTATCAAAACTCCTCCTCCTCCAAGGGCTCTCCTTGCATGACAATGCTCTGGAAGGTTCACTACCTGACAAAATATTTGAATTGAAGCAGCTAACTTATCTTGACTTGCAGCACAACAAGATTAGAGGTTCCATTCCGGATGCTGTCTCAAAGGCTGACTTTCTTACATATCTCAACCTCAATGGCAACATGCTCAATGGGTCCATTCCAAATAGCATGGAACGTTTATTTCGACTTTCAACATTGGATCTCTCTCATAACCATCTCGCAGGATCAATTCCCAAGTCTGTGCTAGCTGGGATAAAAGGGGGGATGCATCTGTATCTTAATCTCTCTTACAATTTCTTAGAAGGAAGTATTCCAGATGAGCTGGGTATGCTGGGAATGGTGCAAGCCATTGACATCTCAAACAATAATCTTTCAGGAGCCATTCCTATGACACTTGGGGGCTGCAGAAACTTGTTTTCTCTTGATCTTTCAGGAAATAAACTTTCTGGTCCCATCTTAGCTGAGGTTTTTACTCAAATGGATATGCTTAGAAGCTTGAACCTTTCAAAAAATAAATTAGATGGTGAAATTCCGGAAAACTTGGCAAAATTGAAGCATCTAAGCTCCTTGGACCTTTCTCAGAATGAACTGAAGGGTAATATTCCTGAGAGCTTTACCAATAGTTCCAGCTTGAAACATCTCAATCTTTCATTTAATCAACTTGAAGGCCATGTTCCTGAGAATGGCATATTCAAAACTATCAATTCATCAAGTTTGGTAGGAAATACAGCTCTCTGTGGAAACAAATTTCTCAGGTCATGCAGCAAGAGAAGTTCACACCGATTTTCCAGAAAGGCAGTAATAATTCTCACCATCGTTGGATCAGTTTCTGTACTACTAATCCTACTAGCAGTCTCAATCCTCATCCAGCGTGCCAAAAAGAGCAAACCTGTGAAGTTGGAAAATCCAGAACCAGATTTTACACCACCAGTTCTAAAAAGGTTTGATGAAATGGAATTACAAAATGCTACAAATTCCTTCAGCAAAGATAACATTATTGGAGCAAGCAGTTTGAGCACTGTGTACAGGGGTGTGCTGGAAGATGGGCAGCTTATAGCTGTAAAGAAATTAAATCTGCATCAGTTCTCCAAAGAATCTGACAAGAGCTTCCACAGAGAAGTCAAAAACTTGAGCCATTTAAGGCACAGGAATCTGGTCAAGGTACTTGGGTATGCATGGGAGAGTGAGAAACTAAAGGCTGTAATTCTTCAATACATGGAGAATGGAAGTTTAGACAGTGTCATACATGGTTCAGTGATGGAACGAATCTGGACATTATCTGAGAGAATTGATCTTTGGATTTCAGTTGCTAGTGCATTGGATTACTTGCATTCTGGTTATGATTTCCCCATTGTGCATTGTGATTTGAAGCCTTCAAATATACTTCTGGATGGAGATTGGGTCGCACATGTTAGTGACTTTGGAACAGCTCGCATGCTGGATGTCCATCTCCAGGATGGCAGCAGCCTTTCCTCGTCATCTGCATTTGAAGGCACTATTGGCTACATGGCACCTGGTAAACTTCAAGTACTCTAAATTATTAAAGCACATCTCGATTTCTCTATATGCAAGAAATTTTCCCAATCTTGCAAATATTTTCAGAATCAGCAACATTGTTCAACCATTCGAACACTGGAATTCCTTCATAAGTGATGTTCAAATGACAATACTTAAAACAATTACATGATTATGCATTTTCATTTGCATTGGTAAATGACAGTGTCTAAGTTTTGCATGAATATATCAGATTTGAAAACCATAAATACAATCTTTTAGTATGCAGAATGATTATTGAAACCATGATTTGATGCCTACTAATGTGCATCTGGTTCTGTCATAAAAATCATTTTCTTTAACCTCCCATTTATAAATAACTAGAAGGGCTTATCACTTTAGGCTTGCTTACAAATCTGTCTTCTTTTATTCTTCCCCTAAATTAAAACTTATTTTTTATGAATCTAAATACTGGAACTCCCACTTTTCATTAGCTTATCAAATTACAAAAACATTACTCTGCTCTTATTCAGAATTCGCATACATGAGGAACGTCACAACTAAAGTGGATGTGTTCAGCTTTGGCGTAGTAGTCATGGAGTTCCTAACAAAACGAAGACCAACTGGACTCGTGGAAGAGGAGGGACTACCAGCCAGTCTGCGTCAACTAGTTGAGAAAGCCCTTGCTAGTGGAACCAAAGGGATCCTTCAAGTTTTGGACCCTGTGCTAGCTTCGAATGTTTCCAAGGAACAAACGGAAGCATTGGAAGATCTCCTTAAACTAGCGTTGTCTTGTACCTTCCCTAATCCTGAGGATAGACCCAACATGAACGAGGTTTTGTCTTTCCTTCTGAAGTTAAACGCAAAATACCATGACAATGATACGCGGTATCCTCGTGAAGAATAGAGCACTCGGCTGTCTTGGAGAAGAATTACGGCAGACTCCACTGCACTATAATGTAAGCAATGTATTAGTTGGAATCAATTATGTTTATGTTTTTAGTATGTAATATCTTCTCATAATGAATAATTTCAGTTTCCTCGTGATCAAACTGATCTTTCAGTTCTTTGTTTTGTAATATTATCCTTCTGTATTAAGTCAGTTACTATCAACAAGTGAGAAATGAAAAGGATTGAATCTCTGGTTCTGCCTTTTTCCTTTTGGTGATTAGCCAATCAAAATCATCTATTACCAAGTCCAAACAAATGTACAAGTGAAACCAGTAATAATCTCGGATACCAAAAACAAAAGATAGTATTTTTAATTTTTACATACCAATTACTCGGACTCACCTGCAACAGACCGACATGAAATGATGATATGCAATTTCAAACGCTTCAACAATCAGACTTCTAGCACAGGGAAAGAAGAAGAGGAGACAAATGCAAAGAAAAGCCACTCAATAAAAATCCTGGTGTGCCTCAGTCCTTAGGTGGGTCAATCTTCAAGAACTCTTCTGTAACAGAAGGAAACTCTAGGCTTTCAAAATCACAATCATCACCACCCTCGAAAGCAGCCTTACCCATAAGCAAAAAAGCCAGCCTCAATGGCTCGCTACCATTCCTCAAAAAGTATCTAATCCAACCCTCCATTCTTTTCACTTCCTTCTCACACTTTGGTCCCTTAACCCCAACAATCTTCTCAAAAAATCCACACTCACATCCACAAGAATTTCCTCCACAAGCAACAACCTCTTGTTTCTTTCTTTTCTGGGTCTCTCCCTGATTATCTGATAAACCCAATAGTTGCATCAAAAATTCGATATCATCAACGTCGTTGGTTATCGTGGGCGGATCTGGAGGGTTTATTCGGGGCGGGGTTTGATGTGTTGGAAGGAATTTTGGTGAAGAAGAGAGGAAAGCTTGTGGGGGTTCACTGCTGTCTTGGAGAGTATTGCTTGTGTTGACGTTGGTAGGCTGGTCTAACTGTAGGTAAAGTGGCGTGCCTAAAGATTCTGTTGGTGTAAGATTAGTTTCTGGAACTTTGGAAGAAGTGGAATTGGATGGTCCTGAATCTGGTAGAGTTTCTAGTTTCAATCTTTTTTCAACCTGTAAGAAAATTGAAAAAGAAATGAAGTCAGAAATCAGGATTCGGATATAAACACTTGCACACTTCTGTATGCAGCGTCTGGTATTAGATACCTGTTTGAGAGAGGAGAAGAAACTCGAGTGAAGAGATGGCGGTCGCATTGTGCCGGTTTGGTTTAGTTTTACCCTGCTTTTAGACTCGCCTGATTTTTGTGTCTTTAAGATTGGGATTTGGAGTATTTAGAGTATATTTTTTAACTTACAAAATAGAAAATGAAATGTCGTGTTTGTATAATATATTAGAAATTGGCTGCTTGCTTGGATGTGTTTTTTTTTCTTTTTCTCATTAAATAAAATTTAATTTTTGTATGAAATTTGTAATTCGTTGTAGCAATGCTTCTTGCTTCGGTGTGTTTATAGAGAGATAATATAAACAAGAAGGAAACAAACAAGTAAACTGAAATAGGGGACATTGAAAAGAATTTGCAAGTTCCATTTCACTGAGACTAGCATTACACAGAGTTTAAACTTTCTTCTCAGTCCATACTAGTCCATACTAATTACTACTACATCACAAAACACCACTCTCAAATTCACGCTCAAGTGTGAGGGTGCATTTCTCACACTTTTAACATGCTGCAGATTTTCACTCACTTTCCAGGGACAAAGTTGGTGGCATAGGCCCAGGCATTGTTGTTGACTGGGTCAGCAAGGTGGTCAGCCAAATTCTCCAATGGTCCCTTTCCGGTGACGATGGCCTGGACGAAGAATCCGAACATTGAGAACATCGCCAATCGGCCGTTCTTGATCTCCTTCACCTTAAGCTCAGCGAATGCATCTGGGTCGTCAGCAAGACCCAATGGGTCGAAGCTGCCACCTGGGTACAATGGGTCAGTCACCTCACCGAGGGGTCCACCAGCAATGCGGTAACCCTCCACAGCTCCCATCAAGACAACTTGGCAGGCCCAGATGGCCAAGATGCTTTGAGCGTGGATCAAGCCAGGGTTGCCCAAGTAGTCAAGTCCACCCTCGCTGAAAATCTGGGATCCAGCCTTGAACCACACGGCCTCACCGAACTTGACTCCATTCCTGGCCAGAAGCTCAGGGAAAACACATCCAAGAGCTCCCAACATGGCCCATCTGCAGTGGATGACTTCGAGCTCACGGTTCCTGGCGAAGGTCTCTGGGTCAGCAGAGAGCCCAGCAGTGTCCCACCGTAGTCACCGGGGAACTTCGCAGTCAAGTATGATGGAGGGTCACCAGAGAGTGGGCCCAAGTACAAAACTCTGTCTGGGCCATACCATGGACTTCCAGAGGAAGGCCTGGTGCCGGTTTTCCTCATAGAAACACGGCCATTGCCCTGGATTTCAGGGGCGGATGGAGAGAGCTTCACAGCTTTTCCGGCGAAGGATGGGGAAGAGAGGGCCATGGTTGCAGCTGCCATTGTACAATTGAGTGTTGAATAAGCAGTGGAAGGAACTTGTTGTCGAAGGGAGGTTGATGAGAGTGATGTGGTGGTTGGGCTCGGTGGGCTGGTATTTATATTTTTCTCGGGAAAGGGTCCTTATCTTAGGGAGATCTATATTTGAATTCCTATTGGTTTGTAACATTTTGGAAGTTCGATTTCCCATGTCTACTTGGCACCCTCAACACCACTTATCAGCGTTGGATAATTTTTGGGGTTCTGATGTATTAAAAATCTCCAACGGTTGTTATGTGTTCTCTGTTGTTCCAATGAGATTACGCCACTTGTGATATCGGATAGCCCCATATCTGCTTGGAACAGATGGATCAGTTTTTCTTCGTTTGCTTATCAGATTCAGGACCACTTTCGTCTGCATGGGTCAGGAATTCTTGTACGCGAGAGATGCAATATCAGTTAATGGCAATGTAGCTCCAGCTTGGTTCTTCATAAAATCTACTGAATAGTATCTTCCTCGTCTCTTAAACTCTAACAACCTCTTCATCGGAGTATACACAATTGGTTTCACAAATAAGAAAACTAGAATCTGTTTGATCACAGTCTGCTTAATTTAGGAACACAAAATGTTGACACAAAGAGATCCAGGAAATTGAAAATGTCAATTGACTTGGGACTTGGAGCCTTGGACATAGAAACCCATATTAAGAGATGAGTTTGACAATACGTCTGGCATAACAGAAGGAACAAATTATACTAAAACCTTCCTTTTTCGTGGTGAATAATAAACTTCCATTTTGTAGACACTGCATGTCTTGCTTTGTGGTCACTTCTTTAAGCTGACGTTCACCATCCTGATCCACACAAAATACATACAACTTCGAGAAACTTCAAGTTCTTTCATCATGCTGCAAAGCAAAATTTTTCTTCTGCAGATATTTTACAAAGATATCCTATCAGCCACTCAAAACTCTGTAATTTGTATTATGCTGCCATGGTTTCAACATCACGACTTCACAAAAATCTACAGCATATGGCTCAAGGAGGTTCTCTTTCTCTGAGAACTAGCTAGTTGTCTATTTTCCATGAAAATGAAAAGGGGACAACATGGAAGGTGTTAATTTATTAATTAATATTTGTGGTTATTAATTGTAATAAGTGTCAAAATGTCCATCAGTCCATTCAAATTTAATGAAAGCAAAAGGCAAAAATGCGATAAAAGACAGATTTTCATAGGAAATGATAATCTCTTTCCCTATTCTAGCATTGGTCCGTTGTATTCAAAACAAGCAAAAACGTTCGAAATATTTCAAACTGTTCGAATTTCTGTCACTCGGATGGTCATGATCCTCAAAAATCTAGACGTGTAACAATGCCATTGGCTACAGCCTGTTAAGTGAATCTACGAACTTTGTGGATTTGAAGAGTGCCAAGTGGAAAACCAAGAACAATATCAAAATCTTGAACCCCCAATGAAATGAGAGTTATAGATACTACATAGATAAGGAACCTCACTCTCAATTCCCTATATAAACCCAGCCAACTGTCCGTTCCAATCACTCTCGAGCTTAAACCTCCACCTCCCATTACCAACAAATCTCTCATTTCACAATGGCCGCCGCAACCATGGCTCTCTCTTCCCCATCCTTCGCCGGAAAGGCTGTGAAGCTCTCTCCATCCACCCCTGAAATCCAGGGCAACGGCCGTGTTTCCATGAGGAAAACCGGCACCAAGCCTGCCTCTGGGAGCCCATGGTATGGCCCGGACAGAGTTTTGTACTTGGGCCCACTCTCTGGTGACCCTCCATCCTACTTGACTGGAGAGTTCCCCGGTGACTACGGTTGGGACACTGCTGGCCTCTCTGCTGACCCAGAGACCTTCGCCAGGAACCGTGAGCTCGAAGTTATCCACTGCAGATGGGCCATGTTGGGAGCTCTTGGATGTGTTTTCCCGGAACTGCTGGCCAGGAATGGAGTCAAGTTCGGTGAGGCTGTGTGGTTCAAGGCTGGATCCCAGATTTTCAGCGAGGGTGGACTTGACTACTTGGGCAATCCTAGCTTGATCCACGCTCAAAGCATCTTGGCCATCTGGGCCTGCCAAGTTGTCTTGATGGGAGCTGTGGAGGGTTACCGCATTGCTGGTGGACCCCTCGGTGAGGTGACTGATCCATTGTACCCAGGTGGCAGCTTCGACCCATTGGGTCTTGCTGATGACCCAGATGCATTCGCCGAGCTGAAGGTTAAGGAGATCAAGAACGGCCGATTGGCTATGTTCTCAATGTTCGGATTCTTCGTCCAGGCCATCGTCACTGGAAAGGGGCCATTGGAGAACTTGGCTGACCACCTTGCTGATCCAGTCAACAACAATGCCTGGGCCTATGCCACTAACTTTGTCCCCGGAAAGTGAGATCAGAGTGAAAGAGGGACTTGTCTTTTAAATGTTCTTTCTTGGTGTGATGTAAATTTGTTGCAAATCAATGAGAGCATAATGTGAATTTCGTGCGCTCAAAATGCATCTTGCCTGCCTACCTTCTTCTGTCAAAGGTTTAACCATTCATCTTCATTTGTTTCAAAAGGAAAATGGTAAATGAGGTGAACCACATAACGGACAAACCAATAATTAACTTTAACAATATATCGTTTGATGGAATAAAAGGTTGAATTTCCGAATATAATTCTCAGTCATCTGTACTTTGCATTTGAGGAGGAGACATTATGTTACACTGATCAATTCAATAATACTATGTAAGATACATACCGTATATATACGAAAGGATGAGTTGTACAACGAAGTCATTCTGTGGAGGGTGAAGGGAGAAAAAGACCTAATATACCTAAAGCTTTATCAACAATTTGAATACTGTGACTAAATGTAACTACTAAAAGAATTGGGAGAAAGGTGCAGTGAGTACTGAGTTCACCAATGAAGCTGTAACCCTAGTGAAATCTTCAACTATAAGTATATGTAATCTTGATCTGTTAGCTGTAGGTATATGGACAAACTCAGTCCAATGTCAACAAATCCAGACTTGCTCGAATGAAAAACTTTCGCACTGGAGCTTAAGTGCGACTTGCTGCTGCCCTTGCTCTGGCAACAGATTTTGCATAAAGTTCCTCATATTGTGATGCTGAAGAATCCCAGCTGAAATCTATATTCATGTCCTTTTGAACAAGACGTTGCCAACTCGCCTTGTCGTTTTTGTAGAGATTAAATGCACGTTCCAAGGCAGTGTTTACTCCCTGTCAGTTTTTCAGATCATTCAACAGTAAGTATGATAGAGAGTTAAATTAACGATATCTAAAAGTGAAAAGATGATCCCTGACAGGAAAGGCAGAGGGTAAAACACTTTGTTTTTATTGTTTCTAGTTAGCTTTAGAAATAAAACATGGATGCTAGAATAACAACAACAAAATGAGCTTAGAATGCTGGTTAACTATATTTCAACAGTTCCATAATTACCTGTTCATCAGGAGTCGTAAAAGTAAATCCATTTTGAAATTGGTGAGGTATTGTGTCATCATCAACATCAAAAACACTACAGAAGAAGATTTTAAAGGTATGAGCTTAGTATTATCCAGTCAAGTAACTTCACATTAGTACAGGGACACACATAATTTAGGTAAAGTAGTTCACCTGTCATTTAGACCACCAGTTTTTCTTGCAATGGGTACAGAACCATATCTCATTGCTATCATCTGGATTAAAATGAAATCACTTATAAGGATGAAAAGTGAAGCTTAAACAGAGGCTCAGATGTTAATATGGTTTGCATTTAACAGTAACTGACACAATATTCAACAAGATACTGAAGCATAAGTTTGGACCATACCTGTGTAAGGCCACAAGGCTCAAAAATAGATGGAATGATGAACATGTCAGAGGCTGCGTAAATGTAATGAGAAAGATACTCATCATATTTCAATATTAGCCGAATGTGATCATGATTTTGAAATTGGCTTGCCATACCCTCAAATTCCTTCTGCAAAATAATCAAATACAAAAATTTGTAAAGAAAGAATCCCACTCTACTAACAGTTTCAAACATAGAAGTATGGAACGGAAAAAGGATTTAACTTAAAATAGAACAAGTAACTCCATACATGGACCATAGTTGTTCAATGCATGAAATGAAGCCTGAATGGAGTTTTGATTGTTCTTACTGCTTTATCTTATGTAGTTTTGATCCTAAAGGTTTCAATCCAGGAAAAATATCTTGCCAAATCAAATTAATAATTCATTAATCAGCTTAACCATTTTAATGTAGTATTACATGCAAAGTCTGGAATTACATGTAAAATGATATGCATGTGTCAGCAGGTAAATATGTATTCATTTCTGTGCACCACGCTTCCAGTATGTCCCAAAGTTAAAAAAAAACGAAATCCAACACAATATAAAGGAATGCAGAAAAATGCTTCAGTGGTTTACTGATTGAAGAGGCTTTTCAGTAGTTTCTGATGCATACTATGATCCCCTGCAAGAAACTCCCATTGACTACAACAAATCAAATCTTTGAATCTATCCAGGTTCAACATAATAATGAGACTGTTGCATGCATAATATGCCTTTTTTTCAAGGACTCATTTAACTTCTACCAATTTAAAAGTTGGAGCAAATAAGAGTTTCCCTGTCCCTACTGGTCAATGGTAGCAGAAGTACTACCATCAAATGTTTCAGAAAACATTTCTTGGATGGATTATAGCTCTGATGTTAATTATCAACAAAGCATCCAAGACGACTGTCTAAAGAAAATTTAACAGAGGACAAAGATAAGAAGCCAGCATTAAGCTTCAGAAGAAAAAAACTAAAGTACTTTGTTAAATTTGAGATCCGTATTTTTCTTTCCCATCATTGCTTTTACATGGACAAAACAGCAGTAAAGATTCACCTGAATGTGGGCAACTGGACTTGAACCAAGAAGTACAAACTGACCACCCATCTCCAGTGCTCGATAAATGGCATGCCTAATTAGATGCACGCCCTTCTGTGGCACCAATCTTGTTATGCTGCCAACCTATTCAATAATAAATACAAGACCTCCAATAAGAATTTATGCAGTACATCAGCTACAAAACAGGAATCAGTTAAGAAATAATGACAAGCTGCTAGATGCAACATTATCAGAACCCAAAGGTGACCTTGCGTTCACATTGTGCACTCAAAAGCTTTCATAGTGAATATACAATACATCTCAGTATGTTAATATACATCAATCTCTCCTAATAGAAAGACGTAGATTGCAATATTCAGCCTGATTAAATCAAAGCTTCATATCAGGAGAGGATCTGAAGACCATTCACACAACAGTTTGATTCTCAAAATTGATTAAATTTTTTTTTATGTGGAAAGCCCAACAGTAGGATCTTATAATCTTATTTAAGTTACTGAAAAAGAATGCATTTCACAAATCAACTTGACAAAACTGTAAAACAGGAGGAAAAAGAAGGGACATCTCAGACAAAAGAATATCCTGCGTTATGAACTTACAAATCTAAAGTTTTTACCAATATATATCCTCTTAGATATACTAAAAGTATGATTGCATCAACCAGACTAGATACCTTACGTTTCCATAAAATATAAGGGAAAACAAAAAGAGTGATAGAGTAGATTTTCCGTCACAGTACTAGTAATAGAGACTTCAGAAATAAATTACCAATGGCCGTTGATCATCTGCAGATGAAAGCCCCAGATGCCTTCTCATAGCAGCTTTATTTTCAGCTTTCCCTTGCAGATCATTAGCACTATACTGCACTTTGAGAAAAGTATCGGTGGCAGGATTCCATGCATCAGTATCGATGCCATTTAAGATTCCCATGAACTTTTTTGAGTGAAAATTAAGTGTTGAATGGAGGCCTCTTCCTCCCTGTAAAAATAAGGGGCATGTTTTGTAGTTTAACCTTAAATTTGAAAAAGCAGACCAAATTGTTCAATGAAAAACTACAAAATATTCATACCTCAGCAGTGCGGACCTCTTCTGCATAAGTGGGTGATACTGTTGTCACTATGTTAGAGAACACAATGGCACCCTGCAAAGGACAATTAGAAGAAGAACAGAAAAAAACCTTACTTTCAAAAAAGAATAATATTTGTTACAGCCAAACCAGTGACTACAGCACCTTAACAGGATTGACCCTATCATTTGCTGAGTTATCCTGCATTCTATCAGGTCTATTTAGCTGTTGGACATCCAGACCACATGATGCCAATTCTGAAGCAGATGCACTCCCTTGGTACTCAAAATTGTGGCATGTAAAACATATTCGAGCTGAATTCAATCCTTTCGGAGCATACAAGTCCCAATAAAGTGGTGCCTGAAAAAGAACTAACACGTCAGATCAACAGGACATTAAATCAGATGCCAAAAGAAACAAAAGGTCAAAAATGATCATACAACAAAGGCTGTCTGCCAGTCATGGCAATGAATTATGTCTGGTTTCTTGCCAGCTTGAAGAAGCAACTCAAGTGCTGCACGACTGAAAAATGAAAAACGTTTGAAATCATCATGCTCCCCGTAATATTGTCCTCTCCAAAAGAACTTGTTGGGATGATGCGGCTCAATAAAATAAACAGGAAGACCTGTGAATTAAATTCTGCAGTCAGAATGCAAAGCTAATAGATGACATGCAACTGGGAGGGAAAGAAAAAAATTCTCGCCTTCAACTGTGCCAACCCAAACTTTATTTTGAAATAGTTTGCCATCAAAATATGACTCTATGGTCACATCTAACGCCTGTTCAAAAAATTAAAGTCATCATAAACATGCATTGGCCTATGATCTTTGAGTGCTTCTCAAATCTCCAATATGCTAACATACCCTCAAGTCACGAATACTGTCATATTGCATACAATCATATTTTGGAAGAACAATCTCCACAAGATGTCCTTTCTTCTGCAGCGCTTTAGCAAGACCAGTCACAACATCTCCCAAACCACCAACCTGATTGAAAATTATTGAATTCAAAAAACATAGCAACAATCAGAAAAGTACAATTAATCCCCCAAAACTAACAAGTAAGAATATGCAAGTCGAACAATATTGGAAAATTTAAGATCAAAAATCACAAACCAATTATTGGATATTCATTTTTCAGTATCAGAAGTTAGGAGATCATTTTCGTAAACAATAAAAGACAGCATATAACAAAGAGCATGATGTCAATACCATGTAAGGATAAGTTTTCATAAGCAATCACTGATCTAAAAGGTGGACTGGAAACAAAAATAGAAACGACCATGGAGGAGAAAAGACAAAATCACCATCAGCACATTCCTGATCACTTAAAACAAGCAGCTATCCAGCCATGTAGGTTCAAACAGAAGACCACAAAAATACACTCTCAAGCACCCACGTAGCAACCTTCCAGCTGTGCAGAGGTGCACAGACATTGATGATTATACACTACCAACTACTTTCAAGTAGATTGAAACCGTGAATTGTGTTTAAGCACAATTCCCGCAAAGAGGTTCCAAGTAGCTTGTTTACTTGGAAATTCAGAGCAAAAGGTGA